CACGTCACTATCGACAGCTCAATCGTGACCCTGAGCGAAGATCTCCCAACGGCTGTTTGCGACGATGCCGTGTACAGCTTCACTTGGGGCTTGGATCTCGCCGTGACCGGCCACACCGAAAGCCTGACAATACTCGATGACGTGTACGGCACCAGCCTGAGTACACTGACAAAGGTCGTGGAGGGGCTGTTAACCGCCAAGAAGGTGCAGTTGCGCTACATCCTCCTCCGCGATGGCCGGACACATGACGGTATTACCAATTCATCGGACCGGTACGACTGGACAGCTGAAGACGACGGCGTGTGGCGCTGCGTCCATGTAACCAACCTCATAACCATTTGTCACCAGCTGGTGCTGCGTCATTATACCGTAGAGGATATCGCCGACGTTATGAATATGCTCGATCTGTTTCCTTATGACGACTTTTTGCTGACGGAAGCTGGTTTCACCAAGGCTAGAACGCCAGCTACCTACAGAAAGACCCCCGTTACGATCAAGCATTTGATACTGCATTCTGCTGATGGCGATGTCGGAATACTCCGACAGTTCATGCTGGCGATGGAGAGGAGTTTTCCGCCCACTAAAGCGACGGTCCGTGATCGGGTACGATCCATTCATCGACGCTGGGTGGACAAGCTGCAGTATCCGGATCAATGGAGCCACATTCGAGACTTCCTGCAACTGTAGGTTGACTTCCTGCAACTGTTGCGTAAATCTTTCTGCAGTTTGACCGTTGATGCCGTAATGGTTTTCCAGGTATAGTGGTTTCCGCCCAGACGGCAGCGCACACGATTGGACGGATGTTGATCTTAAACAGCTGCATGTGTCCAGTCTGACTAAGCTAGCAGTGGCAGCAATTGACGCGCATTTTGACGTTGCACCATAACACGCCGTAATGATGCCACATCACACGTTTTTCATTAATTTATTGGTTTGTTGACAGCGTATAAGAATTTTATTAAGACTTATGTTGTACAAGGACGAAGTGCTCAACATCTCGTGTCGCCAATCCAAATATCATCGAAATGGGAATACCCAACCGCAAAGATCATTCAACGCATCGCAGCAACTGAAGGATCGCGAGCTCAAAAGTTCTATTTTCCATTGCGTTTTCATTTGTTGTTTATTGATTCTTTTGTTTGTTGTTTTTTCTGTTTACTGACAACATGCCCAGGCTCAGAATTAAACAAATCTTATCTTCTGCAGAAAAGTAACATATTACCATAAATTATAGTATGCTTTAGAATATTTAAGTCGCACCCATACTACAGCTATCTAAAAGTTTGTGAGAGATACAGCCTTGAAACATCCGTACGTCTGGGAATACATTTTGAAAACGGGACGTTTTCCAGAACGCTCTGAGCATACCGAAACAGTTTCCAGAACGCTCTGAGCATACCGTTCTGAGCATACCACGGTGGATCTCGAGGCTTGCGTACTGTATAAGTGTACAAGAACAGCCTTGGGCAGCCAAGTTGGGGCAGTTTTTTTCAACAAATTACCAGTACAAGCCAGCTGCAGTGAATAAAATAGATACTTATTTAATTTTTACGTAGTTGCCCATGTGTCCAACATCTTTTCACTAAAGGTTTCTACGCCGAGAGCTTGCTTGAAGCTGCTTCGAGTTTCAGTGAGGTCAAAACTAGAGCTGACTAGCTTAAAAATACTGCTCAACCCGTGGACAGTGGTAGCCTTCTTCCCACGCGAAATGTTTTTAAACTTTCATTTGAGGCTGTATTCTACTTGTGATGAGTCGAGATTGTTTGTCATTTTAAGCTCTTGCGAATCATGTCTAACCTATATGAATTTCAACCAAGCCAGTGTGACCTTTTCAGTTTGACCGCGAGCACTGCCAAAATGGATAGTGACCTCCTCTTCGAGCTCACCGTGCAGTCGCGGACTGCCGTAGGCAACTATTCTTGATAAAATTTCTTTTAGAACGCATTGATTGTAAGTTTTAAATGTTTCGTTCATACAACGAGCTTAAATCACTCACTTGCAGCGAAATAAACAGCACCACAACTTTTTTTGCGATCTGCTTTGTCGGTTTTTTCTGCAATTTTCCCAGCGCTTCCATTTTCCCACGGGTGTGTTAGATATTTGTCGACACACCAAAACTGGATCACACACTCATGTCTTGTTCATAAAACATGTCAGCTCAAGGTCACCTAGATCTGTCAGCTAGGCAACCGTATTCGACGGCGGGTCCTTTATAACATACAGGTCTATGGCACATTCTTTGGGCGTCAGTTTGAACCCTGATCGCTCAGTATTTTGTTGCTTGCCGGTAGCGAACACCTTTTGTGTCCCTCAACGATTTCCAAAAAAGTTCACGAAAAAATATCGGCTTGGGAATATTTTATAGTCAGTTATAAGCATGCACTACTCCATATCCCCTGAATCACTCCTCGGCTCCCTACTGGTGCTGCAAATGGTTGCGGTTTTGATATTGCTAGATCTGCAATAAAAATTTATGCTAGAAAAGTGTAAAAAGGAAAGCTACGTGTTAAACAATCTTGTAATTTATTTAACACTACTACTGTCCCAACTTGGCTGCCCAGGCAGTGCCGCTCTACAGTAGTATAGGCAACTGGCGAAGTTGCCTATACTACTGTAGAGTTGCCTGTACTACTGTAGAGCGGCACTGGCCCAGGGCTGTATATATAGATATATTTTAAGTACTGTAAAGAAAAAGCCCGCGCTTGGAGCTAACGTCATTTTGAAAGCTTATGCCTCGAAACAAAATAATTATATCTATATGTATTAGTAAACGAGTGCTTATACCGGTAGTTTTGTATTTATCGAATTTTAAATTAGTACGGAAATGTATATTAGCAGATCAAAAACGTATTGTCATTAAGGGCACGGTCTGTGCGGCATGCCCTGACGTGGCGGGATGACACAACGGAAGCTGGACCTTTATTGGCTACTCTCTGCTGTAGCATACAAAGCGGTAGCATTATACAGGAAGGCAACAAACAAACAAACAAACTAGCCGAAGGCTAGATTGCACAACGAGCGATGATCATTAGTAGCGCTAATGATCAAAATCACTTAGCAGCTCGAAACAGTGAAGGATGACACACACAAACAGAGCATCACCATATAGGGAAGCATTAAACAAGCTATGGCACGAGGAGTACTCGTGACAGTATTTTAAACGTTGTCTCTTTCAATGCGATTATTATAGCTATGCTAGATTAATCTTACCTTCACGTACTTACCGTATACCCAAGCTGAAGCCATATCAAACCAACAAATTCTGCTCATGTATCCGTCCCATCCGCAACCGGAAATACTGGACGACTTGTACGCATACATTGTACCTCGGTTTCTTCAACGTTTATTGATGAAGTGCTTTGATTGTGCATGTACAGACTTTCACATTCATCAGGTTTCAGCATCCTAGCACGCATGCAGCGCATATACTGGCCTGGTCAAATGTTACCTCGAAGTCAAAAGCCCCGGTTCCATCGTACCGAGACCGTTTAAGCATTATTTTGTCTAAGCATCCTTATCACCTTTCCGATTAGTGCTTAGTCTTAAGCACACAAAGCCCTGCAGTTTCGGGGCGGGACTGTTCTGGCCAGCGCGACACCGTCGGATGACGCCAGTGTGCTGGGATACCAACGTTACCCTGGATTTCGTAGGACGGGACCTGATGGTGCATGCTACGCGAGATATATACTTCTACAGATATTTACCCCGGGTCTGCATAATGTCGGAGCATTTGATTTGTGCTGCATGACTAATTTCGGGAGAAGAATGCATTCCAGGACATCCACAGTCATCTCTGTGAATGTCGCATGTGCACTGAAAATTACGTAAGTAATGCTAACAACAATTTGCAGTGTACAAGACCGGTGGCAGGCCGCGGTATACAATAGAGCATAGCGTGACCCGTGAATCTGTAATTCCCGCTGCACATTTACGCAAGAAGTTAATCACTGGTCTTGTAATCGAGTGCTACCCTAGTATTAAGAGCCCTTTAGTAATAACAGCCATCTGTGTTGGCAAATGGTATTCGCAATTTTGCTCGGGAGGCAGCTGCAGGCCTGCAGCATATGCATTATGCAGATGTTAATTATATGATCAAAGTTACTCAGGTCGCTGATCATTCGCGCGCTTCTTGAGAAAATATTTCTCCCGCGTAGGAGGGGGTAACCAACCCTTTAAAGTGTGGCACTATTGGTTGCACGGTGCGAATTCCCAGTGATGACCGGGCGCTGTCGGCTTGCCCCAACTGTGGCGCCATCAACGATCACCGCTTTTCTTCAGAATCGTATGCAACACTCCCATACCGGACGTCTTCGCTCCCTGGTTTACGTTCTAGGTTACAGTGCTTCTCTGATTAACCCATTGAATTTGTTTTTGTTCTCCAAGAGCTACCGTACTGGTTTTGAAAGAACTACAGACTACAGTGGGCCAGCTTTGGAAATTTTCATAGAGTTTAAAAGAATAAACCAAAGTAACAAAAAAGTAATAAAAGTTTCAGAGTAATAAAAAATGAAGAAGTTCCAACATTAAGAGGTCACACTATTTCGGTTATCCGTATGCAAAAAACAGCAAATCTAATGCTACGCGTACTGTTGCAATAATAAATTTCAAAATGACAGTGCATATACATAATTTGGTGATGAAAAATAAAAATAAAATAGCAAAAAATGATTCTGTACCAAGTGCTAACTTGCTGGCTTACATTATGTTATTATAAAAATTATTATAAAAGTTATAAAATGTTGAATCTGATCAAACAAATCAGTTACAGGCTATAGAAATTAAAGGCAAAATTCCAGCACGACGGCCGAACAGGATAGCAGAAAAATCCACAAACTTGCATGCAGTAAAGCCAGACCTTGTTGTGCACGTCAAACATATTTGCAACTTACAGTTGTTGTGACAGTTGTGCATTATTTCGGGCAGCTAAAAGCTGTCGATAACTGTGGAACTACTCGTAGTACTAATACTGCTGCACAACATAATAATATGCAATAGTGACAATTCTTTTATCGGACTTCTGCAATACTGGTTTAGCCGTCAGTGAAGGTTGTACTGTGTACCTCATGACTGGCGGCCATCAAACAAAAACTGATGATAACGTAACCGCTCGATCGCACATATCAGCGCTCAAAATACAGCAGGAAACTATGCTCTTTTAGAAACCATCTCAAAACGCATGCAATAATACACTATTAGTAACAAGTAACAACTATAATCCATGCACCAGCATCCTCCGCAGCGCTCTTAAATGGGCATGGGTTCCGGTTGGTCCATCTCGGGATGCGGCGCCGACACCGTGAACTGTCCACCCTCCACGCTCTCCGCATCGCCCCCCGTCACGTCCGCCTCAAACTCACTGTCCTCCTCCAGATCGGTTATCTGCAGATCACTCCGGTCCCCGACCGTCGATCCCCCGTCGGCCAGATCTTCCGGATGCAGGAAGGCGCAGCGTGCGGCTCCCATGCGACACTGCGCGCCAAACGTGCATACCTACACGGTCACCACGAGAAATTACAGTAGCTTTAATACAAAAACTGATTCAGAGTATACGATATAGGGAATTCTTACCACTGGCTGCTTGTGCAGGAGCTTGCAGCGCGGCTGCGTGCAAAACGGTGCGTAGATACAGAACGGGATTTTGGTCGGCACGGGAGGAGCTTCTGCAAAACGATCACAATGTAAGAATGCTTTAGAAAATGTCGACGGGAAAATGCATACGTTTATTCGGTCCTTCCGCCGGTGATGCTCCTGAATGATCGAACACACACGTCGCCCCAAAGCGACAATGTTTTCCGTTCCGGCAGACGGGATGGAAATACGGACAGATTTTTGCTTTTTTAGCACAGTGTGGCAAAAATCCACAAACAGATAATCATGTGGTGAAAAATGTCGCACAAATTTAAACGAACTGTAATCGAATCATGATTGAAAATCTTCTTATTAGTCTCTAATTACGTGATCAACATTATTTTAACTTCGATGTAGTGTGCCCTGCCCTTTGCTCAAAAGAAGAATACTTCACACAATACATTTCATGACTTAAAAATAAAAAGGTCAAAGCTGTTAAAAAGGCATTTGTGAAATTAAACCAGTAAGGTAAATCGTTGCCTAAACAGATAACGAATAATCAGCAATTACCCAAAACGAATAAATTGCGATTAATTAATAATTCGAAACAGGTCATACCGGTATGACTCCCGGACGTATCCGTTTAGCAGGTGGCGGTCCATCGACATCCATTTCATCCCCGCCCATTGCTGTAAAAAACTATCGTCAACGAACAGTAAAATGCGGCAGTGCATCGCAATCTCCACCGTGTTGAGAAGGAGATTGGAATGTTATTCGGCCGATGCCGGACACGTGAACTCCGGCAGGGCGAACGTGCCCCATCAATTGCGTCCGAAGCCTTGCTGACCCATGATAACACCGCTGAACGAATGGGACGGCACAGCCACCAGCAACCCTGGAATTCTGCAACGGCAACAACTTAGTCGTAAGGAGAAAGGCGAAAACAAAATTAAAATATCGCCTACGCAACGATCTTTGCTCTGCCAGGGACCAACAAAGTTAGTATTTGACAAAATTTAAAACATTTACCGAGTAAAGCGTTAAATATGCCCACAGCAAAAAGATGTTATAAAATTATGAATTACCAACGGAATTACCAAAGCTCGAATTACCAACGGAACAGCACTGCTTTGTCTGACTGTCATCGTAAACTGCTATTGTGGTCACCTCTCATTACAATGAGCAAACCATAATCATAACAATGCTAAGCGATAGCTGTTGATTGATTATTCAATCCCATGGTGAAAGCAATATGATAAGGATAAGGACGAAATTAATTAACAACAAAGGAATTATTCTGTAAAAAATACTGGAGGACAATGTTGGTGCCGACTTACTCTTCGGAATCCTGATCCAGGACCTTCTCCGTTTCCTCCTGGTGTCGGTAGTCCGGGACAATCAGCGGAGAATCCGCCCGCGTCGGAGCCACGGGGGCCGGCACGGGAGCCGTGACACTGCGGATGTCCCTTTCCCGTTCTTCATGTGCGCGCTTCTGGCCGCCACCACGACCAATTTTCACCGCAATGGGTTGACCACTATCAACGACCAGAAACCAGACGTAACACAGCACTTTTGATATCCGAAAGAGAATAAAAAATCCTCTTTACCGAGATTCATCGTCGGATTTCAACGCCTCCTGATCCATTACAGCCTCCTCGATAGCATCGGCTTCAATAACCATTATCTCTTCTGCCAAGAAAAATAAAATATAGAAAGAATTTTAAGGAGAAAATGAAGATTACAAAATAAAAAAGTAAACACCGAGAAATATGCTGCTTCTGCAGCCTTTTTATTCTACTCGTACAAAACGAAACACCGCAAATCTTCGTACCCTAAGGTTGGACCACTTTTTCTTCGCTTTTCTTCTTCTCCACCAAAGGAACATCTTGCTGGGCGGCGCTGACGGCTTGTACCGACTTCACCGCATCACGCGCCGCCTTGGTGAAATGCGCGACACCCCGGATTTCGGCCTAACACACCCAGCAGCTGTCAGTTTCGTCAGGCTACTCCCAAAAGCAACGATAAATACTTACTGCTCTCTGTTGGGATCCGCGGTGCCACGATGTTCCCGGCGCCGACATGAGCGATGATGGTGGCGCGAACGGGACGGATCGGATTCCCAATCGTTTTCTGCTTCCGCCTCACGCCGTTTGTCCGCTTCCGTTTTCTATAATTCCCAAACAGACCCCCGTTCAGATATTAATCTGTTCAATTGATTAATATGCGTTTTTGATAACGTACATGTGGAGATTCAGAGCCGGAAGTGGCCGCCGGGACTGGAGGCTGCGCTTCACTGGGCGGATCCGTTTTCACAGTGGGAACGGTGGATGTATCTATACAATGAATGCGAGTGAAACTAAGTTGAAAAAAAAATTATCGCGGTGAAAGACTCTGCATCGCATTCTCCTCTGCATTCAGCGATTACCTTTTTCCGGACAGGGAGTGGGTTTGGTCGTGGCAGCGGTGCCTTCCGGGGCGCCAGCAGATGACTGCTTGCCAGCTATCTCCGATTGCGCTGCAGTCGATGAAAAAGACCAAATTATAATATACTGCAGTGATTTAGATCTGCCCATGGATAACTGACTTTTCGAGGTAAACAGGCAATATCCATAAGTATTACTATACTTCGTATACGAGTACCGTACAAAGATGACTGACAGTAACGACTGACAACACAGGAACAAAAATATTTAACACGACAGTGATTTTGATTACTAGGGTAGTGCAGGAAAAGAAGGACCACAACGATGCTCAATCAAAAATGGATACATTCAGATGACAGCACATAAATGAAAAAGAATATTCAGCAAAAGCTAACTGTCAACTGGACGAAATTTAACAAATAACAAAAATAACACTTTAAGAAAATTGCAGTTTTGAAATTAGATTACTTACTAAAATAATTATCAAATCTTCAGATACAGTGATACACGCAGTGCTTTCCAGTGGGGTAGCGATAAAAAAATGTCAAAAATTTCAGCAAATCCACCTTTTTGCATATCAACCGATTAAGTGAATTAAAACTGCTGTAAATAAATCATTATAAATGACTAAAAATAAAAAATCCCAGAACAGTGAACACTGCACAGCATTCAGTCGGTTTGTACAGCAAAGCAATCGCTCAATATTGAATACCTTTTGTCACTTGATTATCCACTTGTGACACCACTTTAACAAACCTTCAGAAAAATGCCAAAGTCAGGATTTTGCCCGTTAACTGTGGCGACGACGACGAAGAACCCACCATTCGACGAAGACATCCGTTTTATCACCCAGAAAATCCACCAGTTTACTCCGCAGAACCGTCGCATCGTTGCACGGATCAAACAGCACGAAGATATAATCCACGAGGGGTTTGTCTGATCAGGAAGAAAAAAAAAGATAGTTTTATCCGGATAAATCAACAGAAAGCAGCACAGATGGTTAAAAACAGCAGCGCAGTGCTCACTGATTTTATCCTTCTGTTGAATTTCCTTCAGCTTGGCGTGGATTGCATCCTATCAAACGCAACAAGAATGAATCAACAAGATGGGAAGCGCCAGGAATAACATATTTTCATCAAGGAATTTGACAAATGATTGCGCTCTAACACAAAACTATCGCAGAGAAGATGGTAAGGAAAATCCAGAATGATATCAACGCACCCAAATACGACAGCGACGGATTTTTGAAAACCACTGATTTAAAAACCACGGATTTTTTCGCGGCGTAACGAGCTGAAGTACTCTGAGCTGCCGCCTTTTATATCACATTTCCTTCACTTGTCTCACTCGTACTACTAATTCAAAGTATAATGCGCTCATATCTTATTCGCGATTTTTAGTAGCGATGTTAAATCGAAGGTGGAATTGCAATGCAAAGTTTTCGAATATTGAAATTGTCTAAATATTGAACCATAAATTACTTATTATAAAATGTAAAACGGAATAGTGATTAAACACGAACAAGCTAAAATTTACGCTGATATTGACTGAGCGCCATAAATTGGCTCTGAACAATTTTACTCGATTTTTAAATAAACCCTAAATTATCTAAACGGAATCAAGTTAACACTCATCAATTCCGATCCGTGATCATGCAAAGTAAGAATTTTAAAACTTAGAACGAAGCCTTATCGCGCCCGGTTTCCATTAGCACCCCTCATCGTTTAATCGCTGCATCCACTCCCCCCAATTCACTTACCCAGATACTCGCCAATGGCCGTCACATCATCCTCGCCCATCTTCATCACTTCCGGGGCCGTGAAGCGTCCAATTCCATGGGCATGCGCCTGCGCCTTCAGCCGGCTGCGGATGATCTTGGGCAGGATCAGATCTTTCAGTTTGCTGAACGGGAACTGCTTGACCACGGTCTCCTCCTTGTCGTAGCTCCAGCGCCATAACACCAGCACCCTAAATAAACAAAACAATGATAAGCGCCGCAGTGAAATTTTGCCTGCACTGCATTATACTGCAACTCTGCCACTGCACTACAGTAACTTATGTACCAAATTTAAAAGTAGAAAAAAGTTTAGCCTGGTACAGTGAGCTGTGCGTACTTCAAGGTATGACCAACACGTTTAGCTTACATTTAGTGGAATTAACCATTAAATTAAGATTAAGGGCGCTGATGTGTAAACGTAGATATTGCAGAATGTGATAATAAAATATGCTATTAGTTAGCGCGCAGTAATCGACCCGGGGAAAACCGACTTCTGGCCTGAATGCTTGCAACTTTCTGAGATCCAGAAGTGAGTATCACACGACAAAACTTTTCACACGAAAACTGACACTGAATTATTTCACCGATCCCACAAAGTGTTAGGCAATGAAGAGTAAAATAGGTTAAAAATTCAATAATGGGAAAGATAATTACGGGAGCTACTGCCCGTGTGTGTGGACAGCGGCGCAGATGTAAATTGAGTGTGACTAACCAGTAGAGTTCCTCTTCCACGAGCTTCTGGAAGGCCCGATTAATTCCCTTTTCGCTCGGCGTCAGCGTACTGTTCAGATCCAGTCCGGTCTTCAGTTTCAAAAAGTCAATGCACATGGATGAATCGCTCACATCCTGTCCGGCGTACGTCAGCCACGGCGCTTTGCCCGTCTTGCTCGAATGCGGCTTCGCGAAATCGTTCTGAAAAACAAAAACACGACAAATAAGCTTTTCTCGTCTGAAACAAACGTCCCTCTTTAAACACTCCATGAAATCTATTGTTTCCCGAATAAGAATATCTAACTCCGGGTCACACCCACAAAATCAAGAAAACCGAAACAACGCTGATACTTACTTCATACGCTATTGATAATTTTCTGATTTAATTTCTGCGTGACCTTTGCCAAATCAAGTGCAATTACTGTAAATATAATTTCCATTTAGAACTGGTATTATGGTTAAATTAATTTATGGCTTATAACTTATTTACCATTGAATCATGCAATATTTGTACTGTATCTTCATACCAATCTCAGTTACTAAGAAAGCTATGACACAAGTCTGTTTAGCAGCATGAGTTCAGTCACAAAATTGGACAACAATCTCGGGACAGAATGCAAATTTTTGGCATGACCATTGAAATCTGAACTGATGTGTTAAATACCGAATTGCAAATTGAGTCGTATAATTCACAACACGAAACTTCCTGCTATGCTGTGCCAAAGCGAAGCCGCACCTGTATTACCGTTCATCGCACATTTAATCCGTATGATTAATTTTCGTCAAGATAAAAATCACAACAAAATCAAAAACCGTAAAAATCTTGTTACTGTTTGCAGTTATCGCTTAGTCTAATTAGGAATTATTATTAATATCGGTAACTGTTATTGCTATTTACGGAAACATTGGTTCAGTTTAGTCTGTTTAAACACCAAAATTATATTTATTATTCGTATTTTAATTTTGCACTACGAAGCAGGGTCACGAGTAAGATTTTCAAAAATTCCTAATATTCAAAATCTTCTTTCTAAAAACCATAATGAAATTGAGAGGCACTCTGCTCTCTTCTTCGATCTTACTTCAAAATTGACTTTGGTCATGCGCAGATAGGTCTCCAATTTGAGTCCAAACGGCGACACGTCGGGCACCACCGCCGTGCGTCCGAAATGATGAAGAACCACGTCCGGCGTCGTCCTGGGTGCCTCCGTTGTGGTGGTGTCCACCGTTGTGGTGGCCGTCTCCGTTACCACGCTGCTGTCCATTACCGGCGTATCGGCAGCCATGTTTGAAGGAGATTTGTTGAAATAATGTCAAGAAGGTCCTTGTCGCTGCTTGAACAAATCGTGTGCAAACAACAGTACAATGAAAACCTCGTTCACACTGATCGGCTGCGGCTCAGAATTTAAATTTCCACACAACTTGTAACCGATTTGATGAAAGAATCGAGATGAAAAGAGAGGAAAATGTTAGACGCTTTTCGATGATGTAGCGCGCGGGATGTGAGTCAAGAGCGCCCTCGAAGAGAAAAGAAGACGATGTTCTTCGGGAAATTCCCGTAGACAGTAAGTGCTAAAAAATTCATACTGCACCAGTCGCGGGCTTCTTGAGTCGTTGACCGAAGAAGTCTGGACAGTGGATAGAGTAACGAGCGGTACGTACAGTTTATCAACGGTGCGCAGAGCATGTGGGTGCAAGAGTACGAGCGTTGATTGGCCAGGCGGCCCAGGCCATAAGAATAGGATTATTAGGCGGTTTTGTTTGGGGTGTTTATGGAGAAAGCCTCTTATCACGCCATCCGATCAGGTTTTTTTCGGCCACATACATGCTGGATCAAAATTCCGCGAAAATAATGCGATACCGTTTAGTGGTCACGTATGCAACAAAGTACGTACTTAGGTACAGTACATTGAGTCACTGCTCTCACTACAGAACAATATTGGTGTACACTGATACAAGAATCAATTTCGAGATTGTTCGGTTTGTTATTGTGTTAATTTTGAAGACAGAAGAAAGTAGTCTTCATTCATAAATTTATTATGGTTGTTATTCTTTTGGCACACTGACCGCCTCTCGCAATTAAAGGCGGTCCCAAGTCGCGGCCCCGCAACCAACTGCAAATTTTCAGATTTATTTACAGCACTGTACTGGTTACTAACGTGAAATAATCTACCAATAAGGCAATAACATCTGATTAATACATATCTGGAAGAGAACCACAATCACAAAAGTGACAGAATAATCACGCGAATAAGAAACATTAATACTCATTAAAAACATGCATCGAAACTATTATAAAACAAAGCAATATAACAAAATAAATATCACCAATAATACAAAATACAGTGGAAAACAGGAAACATAGCATCACGTCAATTTATTTTCGTTCGGGAGATTTCCTCGGCGATCGTTGTCTCTCTTCCTTCGGTGCTCCCGCCGGCGGCAGCAGCTGATCCCGTTCATCGTCCCGCCTCGACGGTGAGGAGGAACGCGAGCGCGACCGGTGCGCCCGTTCACCTTTGGGCGTGCGCAGCAGATTATCCGCACTGGGCGGCGCCGACATCTTAATGAAGACCGCGGACCCGTTGGGATCAGCGGCCACGCCGGTCGGAGTGGTAGCGGTGACGGCCGGCAGGAATTCCGTGGTGTTCAGGTCGTCCGTCCGGACGCGCTCCATCTCCTGCCCGAAGGTGTCGATCTCCGTGGGCATGTTCTGCGCGGAGGGACTGGACGGGATCAGGCCGGAGGGGCGGTGTTGTCGTTCCAGGGCGGTGGCGCGCAAGGCCGCGATGTAGTGGGCCAGTTTGATACGCAAAAATAGCACGTCGGATGTGGCGTATACGGTGAAATCGGGAGTAAAGGTGCCTGAAAAAAAGTATGCATTACTACATAGCAAATAATAGTAACATAGAAAGTTCTGATTGTGCACCACGCTCAAGGACGAACGTTTATGGGCCACTGCACTATGCTAGCAATCAATTAATACTACATCAATCGTAAACTTGAAAATGCTACAACAAATGACTAAATCGTTTTCAATCCGCAGAGTTTACAGAGGGAAAATTTTTGAACGTTTCCGGTTGTAAAAAAACAGTCGCACAACCACTTAAATAATTGTCGCCAACACAACGTACGAATAAACCGTGCGCAAGCCTCGCTAACGAAAGTCAAAAGTCGAAAAAACCGCTAGTGCCCCTGTTCACCACCAGGTAGGAAAAAAGTCACAACAACGGAATAAATTAACGAGCACCTTGTAGCAAAGCAAAGTGCGTTACAAATGCGCAGTTCATAAATTTTTCCAAATTTTAGTACGCTTCAACAAGCAGCTAACAAAACAACGGACAAAATGCCCGTCTTACCAGTCATCTTCGACTTGTCCAAACTGATCCGCGCCCCCGGCAAGCTGGCTTTCCCGGTGGCCAACGCCGGAAACGGCGCTTTCACTAATTGCGCAATTTCCTCCGGCTTCAAACCCAACTCGCCGCCCAACGCCGTCTTGCCAAAGTACGTAAACGGTCCACTCTCGAACACAAGATCCTCATTGCCAATCTGCACTTCCACGCGACCCTCCAGCACCAACACAAAGAAATCCGCCGGCCGGCCCTTTTTGTAGACAAACGTCGGCGTCACCTCGTTGGGCTTCTTCTTGATCATGCGGGCCACTTCCGGGTGGCGGATCAGCCGACGCAAAATGTGTTCACTGATCAACGTCTCACTGAACCGGTCCACCGAGGTGCTGAGGAACTGGAAGGAGGCGTGCTGCAGTTGCGGTGTGATGAGAGAGGTGTACATGGGACGCGCCTGGAAGACGGTGAAGTCCTTTTTCAGGTTCTTCTTCCCGCGGGCATCTCGGTCGGACTCGTCGAGAATCTCGGATTGGATCATTTCTTCGATGATGTCCTCCAGGGTGACCACGCCGAGGGTCTCGTACACTGGGTCACCACCTTCGGGGTTGGAGATCTTCTGAACGAAGGCCATGTGCGAGTGACCCTGTTTGAAATCCTCTGCAAGAAGTCAGAAAATAAATATTGTAAAAAATAAACACAAATATTTAATATAATATTTTTAATATACATTTATTAATCAACCACCAGCACAATTTTTATGCTGATACTTCTCAGCATTTATCCGATCTTTAATTTGCAGCACACTTACAAATCAGGAAAAAAAAAGTTCCAAAATTCAGCGGTTCCACTAAGCAGAATAAAAAAGATGATTTCAAGAGAACAAAATACTGATTTTTCTGGCATAGTTTGCGTTTATATAGACGCAAAGGCTTTCTAATTTAACCTGCCATAGTCCATAATGTCCATTACACTACACTAACTGCAGTATGTTTCCAAACCCAACCTAAAACTCCCCTGCTAATCAATACAGAGTAAAGAACACTTACTATTTAAAAAACGATTGAATGGTGGTCGATTACACTAAAATTTCACTATTCCAGGGTCAGACAACTCGATAACACCAAATCCACGGAGAACTGGGAAAAATTCAAAGAAACTATAGAGAATTCTCGTACTGATCATCCCAACTTACGCAGCATGACATCGAGAGTGGTATCTTCGAACACGAAGCGCAGCTCATAGCCGTAATATTTGCACAATGTCTTGACGGAAGTACAGTCATCCGGATCCAGTAGCGCCATATCCTTGATGTTGAGCAGACCGACAATATTATCCCGCTTCGTTTCGTAAATGGGAATTCTGGTGTAGCCTAAAAGTACGTAAGTAAAAAATTTTCAAAAAGATCATAGTCAACTCTGCAATACTCAAAACGCAATTGCATTACGATGGGGAAAGGCTCACGCCGCGCTGTATATGCCATCACACTACGGTTCCTGGAGTATCTGTCAAATCTCTAATCTCAGTTGAAATGAGTAAAACAGAGTAACAGGCCTGAATTAAAAATGGAAACATAAAAACATAATGGCAAGCTGGCAACCGAATTTCGAAATATCGGTGCTGCAAGATGATTTTACCACCACTATTCACATAAAGTTTTTTATTTTTTAAAACCATCCCTGGTACGCACCTTCGCGAGTAATTTCTGCTAATGTATCAAAATCCAGTACAGCGTCGTACGGCAACATATAAACTTCATCAATCGCCGTCATAATTTCAGCCACCGTCTTCCTCTTCAACGCTAACGTTCCCGAAATGATGTTGACTTCGTCGTTTTCCAACAGATTATGCTCCTTAGTGACATTGATCAGCTCCACCAGACGTTCACGATCGTATACCGTGCCGATTTCCCGACCCAGGAGGACGTCCAGTAATTTACTCAACGGCCAGGAAATAACACCCGTAATGCCCATCACGACCTAATTAAACAAAAATTTATATTCAGAGTTTGCTCGACTGATAATTCAGTTATAACGTTTGGCACGGGCACCACAGAAATCACACGCCTTGAATGACTACGTAAGCCAAAGTGCTACGACCACTAGTTATTTAAATGCATTGTCAGTAATTTCATATCAGACTATCTTCAGCATAAAACCCTATTTCCGACTACTGTTAAAATCATTAGGAATTCGGAAAAAACCATCACGTGTTTCATTGCAGATTCCACAGAAAGCGAACAAATCGGAAAGAGAAGCACCATAGAAAAGAAAGAAAAGCACCAACACAGGATCTCTTATTTCTTTTATTTTTGATTCAACATGGAACAAAAGTAACAAAAGATTGAAATTAGTATCATAAAATAACAATAAATAAAAATCCACTATAACTGCCTAATCACAAAGAAAAAACTGTCCAATTAACAGCCTAACACCTTTGTAGTAGTATACTAATTTTAAACAACTGAAAAATAATATTTTTTAATTTTATAAAAAAGTTTGATCCACGATGCACAATTGCTGACGGCAACAGCAAAATTAACAGCAACTTACCCATGTTATCCATCGAGTTGCCGATCCAATCGCCAATCCAAACCGATTGCACAGCGCTTGCGGTACAATCTCACCAAACAACACAATCCCCACCGTGGAGAAAATAACCGCATACAATCCCGACGTTAGATCATCCAGGAAAATGGTCAGCGTACTATTGACCAACACATTGCCGATAACCAGGGAGCAGAGGAGAAAGTTGCCTTTATTCCGCAGCGGAATGATATTCTTGGCATACTTCTTCTCCTGCGGTGCCCCGACACTGGCCACAATCTGCAGCTCGGTGGGATCGAGTGACAAGAGGCCCAGATTGAGGCCAGAGAACAGGCCGGATAAACACTGCAGCACGATGATGATGAGGATCTGGATCCACAGCGGTATCCAGTATTTAGGAATCGCCTGCAGTTGGACGGCGGAGCCGGCGCCCTGGTGCAGCCACCTGTTCTCCGTGGGATGCTTCACGCACATGTAGTAGATCCCTACAACCAAAGATGCGAGGAAATATAACTGGCTATTTCTTGCAGATTGCGCGTATTTTTGATTATACAATGTTTTAAGAATGACAGTGCATCATAATCCAGAATACTAACAGATTACCAACCATGACGAGAAAATAAATACAAACTCCTTGCCGCCTGCAGCATTTACAACAGTTAAAAAAATGTCACTGAAAGCTTGTATAATGTTGCAGTTCAGAATGCATTTTTATACAAATCGCGTGCAGTATTTTCACTAAAGCATTGAGGAAACAAGAACAAAAATTCGATTGTTAAAACACATTCACCAAACGTATCATTGCAATATTTCCGTCTACAACTAAGTGAACGACTAAGTGAACTGTTAATAGGATCGGTTAAGCCATTATACCACGTTCGCGGCAATTCACGGAATATCTTAAGCACAAAAAGAATTCCGCTTTCAGCTGTCACTCATTTGATGTTCAGTGTTCACCATCCCTAGCACCGACGAAACTTACAGGGTTTTTCATGGCCCTCATTCAGCACCACCGTCGCACTGGCCACATCATCCGTCTCCGCATCCGGCGCATCCCGTCGCAGCTCAAAGACATCCCCGGTGGGATACCGCACACAATCCTCCCCGCGCAGTCCCCTATGCGAGGTGAACTTGACCGAGGTGGAGTTGATAAAGCCGCTGCCGAACAGCCGGATGGCCGTCTCCTCGTCGGCCACCACCTTGACCACGCCGTGCTCGAAGCCCTTGGCGTTGTCGGATTCCACGCGGATCCCACTAACGTGCACCGTGCCGTTAATTTCCACCACGGGCGGGGGCGGGGCGGTGCTGCTGCTGGGGGTGGTGGGAGCGTCGCGCAGTTGGCGAGATTTCGGGAGGGGTGCGGGGATGTCCGGGATGGCGGGGGAGATGGTCAGCGGCAGGATGATGACAGCGATGATCAGGCATTGCGAGCGAATTATGAAGGGAATCATCTATGTACGCGAAATTCTACTAAAATTTTGTTATTGAAATGACTGAAATGATCCCAGTCCCGAGCAGCTTATCAAATCGGAAAATACGAAAAAATAAACAAAATACAACTGTCAAATGTTTGAGAAAGCGATACAACTGCCGAAATGCGGATTTCATATTTCAGTTATTAAATAAAATAAATTCAAAACTGCGTTAGGATTGCTCTTTTAAATTTCTATTGAAAGCAATGGAATGGCTGAAATCGTTATCATTCGAAGTAACCCATCAAAATCGGGAAATACGACAAAATACAAAAAATAAGGATTAAAATGTTTGCGAAAGCGAACAGCGGCACAATTACGGGCTCCAATAATATTTGTAATTAATAAAAATTATAAAACAAATTCAAATTCGTTTTAAATCACCCAATTAATTACCAGAACAAAAATGGAATTAATTCAAGTGGCCCAAGAGCATAAAAAAACGTGAAGTATACCAAAAAGAATACTGGTTAAATGGCAAGTTAGGAAAGCCAGAAATATCAGGAAGAACACAAAAAAGCAGGTTGGAAGCAAAAGTCGGAGGCGAGCCAAAATATTTGACAAACAGTCTTCGTACCTGCAGTTTGGTTAGCTCGTCTTTTCAGCACAAGATCCAGGCGCAAGCATCCAAGAGATTAAATCCACAATTGTCGATCTAAAAGCAGGATAAAACGTCCGGAAACACTCACGTCTCTGGGCGAGCTTGGATGAAAAAGCGCCTGAGGATGGATGGGATGCACTATAATCTATCGCTTTATGATTTCTGCCCGAGACTGGCCATAAAATTGTATCGGTGAAATGAGTGATGACTCAGCGGCGGCGTCATATAAGGTGCAGGCTAATCGGCTTAGTGGATCGCAAACAACATCTCAATTCATGCAACGATAAGATTCAGTGATATTTATCCACAAAAAGAGGAATTCTGCGGGATGCGCAAGGATTTCGGGAAAACCCAAAAAAGTAAACCCGCCGCAACGTGCCAAAATGAGCAAACAAACGACAACACCAGCACCGCACGAATGGAATTGGAATCCCTCGTTGATAATTTAGTGGATTTGGAAACGGAAGTTGTCGAATCGAAGAGTGCAGGCTCTTCTCCAGACTTTTTGGTTGTTTTTGGACCTTATAGAAAATAATTTTAAAATTTTATACTTTTAAAATAAGTATTTTTGTGCAATTTTGGGCGAAAAATTTCAGAAAGCAAAGCACGGACGTCTACTTCCAGTTGTACTGGAAGTGGGTTGGACTTTGTACGTGGGCGGACCATGTAAACAAACCTGTTTGGCGTGTATTCACTTGTGAGATTTTTCAATTTGCATTTAGCCATTTACCACTCGGTTTAAAGGGGAAAGTTGGTCTGTTGCGTCGTGTTTTTCTTTCACGGTCCGTTTTCTTCACAAACCTCATTTCATATTAGCAGTCACTCTTTCGGCTCTTTACAGAGATTTAAAACTTGTTTGACTGCCGCAATTATTAGCCTGCATGTCTCCATTGAGTGGTCTGCTACTATTATCTTGTGTGTCGATGGATCGACACCCAGAAATTACCACAGCTGGAACTTGACCGTCTAATAAGCAAACGTTTGACGTCCTCATCATCCCTTTCGCAACGTGATTGCGGCTGGGAAATTATCGGAATTTTTATTTTCATCTGTTTTATACGCGTTCCGCTGTGGAATTTTGATTCGTATCGATTCATCTGGAAATTATCACCGAAACGGATAAACCGCAGTTTATTCCTTCATGAACACTAATTTTGCTGTTGATTTGCACTGATTACGCGTTGGTGGTACAGGAATACGCGATCGTTGCGCTGAGATTTTTTTGTTGATCAGCTTTGTGGATTTGTGGATTATCAAACAAACCACGACAATCAAATTCAAGAAAATGAAGTGAAGCTTGCGATCAGAAAGCAAGCAGTAGCAAGGTAAAAACCGTAAAATTTTATTTAGTTTAGTAATTCGCTTCGCTGTTATGCACTCCGCTTTAACGTGTATAACGCAATGTATGACATGGCTAATTGCACTAATTAGTTTCGCCAGGTCTACTAATGACGGTTTTACGTAAGAATCTGCATGGTCTTTGCACAGGGAGGCTTTTCGCTGGGAAACTGTGTGGCATGTGGAAGTGAGAGCAAAACTAACCAGCCACGATGACAACACAGGAACTGTATTCCAAGGTAACTAACCACTAAATCAGTGACGCAGTCTGGTTGCACACGATTAACTCATTAATCTCCGACTTGAGGAGATTTGTTTTTGTGATTTTCGTGCGTGGAATTTTGTATGATCGCTTTTTTTGCCAGTGCGGGTAATTTTGATTTGTATAACAAATAAAATTTTGATTTTTATTATGAAATACATAAGCAATTAAGCTAGACTCTTCCGTGTTTCGCTTGTTCAAGGAAATTATTCATCTGTTTTTTTGTGAACTTCACGGTTAATATTGGGTTGCTGATAATTTTATAAGAAATTAAAAAGGCCACAATGATGATGTATTTTTTCAATAGGCAATAATGAAAACAAAAAGAGTATTTATGAGTCGTGGCTGTTAAAAATTAATTCAATTTAAATTTCGGTACTGTAGGAATTTTCTTCTGATTTTTTTCTTGTTTTTGCTTCGCAGTGCGGCATTTGCTCAGTGCTGCTGGTTACTGCATGTATTTTTGTGCCAACTCAGTTCACGTTTATAAAAACTAAACTTATTTGAATTCTGATTTTTTTGTGGATTTGGCAAAGTGACTGTTTATATAAAAATTTGAAGGTTGATTTTTATTGCGGATTACTTCCGTAGCGGAAGTTGGCTGTGCAAATTCGTTTTTATGGGGTTTGGCTTCGTTTTCCACCAGAATTAGTGCATGAATCCTTTTTCTATTGAATTCTGAATTTTTGATATAATAATCATCGATGAAAATAAGCCTATTCGTTACGATGGCCTGGTTTGCAGTACATTTATTGTCGATTAATACGGCCATTATTTGGCTGCGTAGATTTTACAGCTAACACCGTTCGCCGCTGTAAAAACGCCACTTTTATTCTCTTTACATTGACTCTTCTTATCAGAGCGCACAGTGTGGATAGAATTAACGATTGTCGATACAAATTTCATCCCCGCCAGCACAAACACGGAAGACCGATGTGCAGTGAGGATGACAATTGTCAAATTTTATCAGAATATTTACCATAAAATCGATTACTTTCGCTCGTGTGTCGTCGCGTCTGTTTGGTTAAGTAGTCTTCGGTAAGAGAGGCGATAGTCGAGCACAAAATATCCGCAAAATATGAGTGCGCTACGGGTAATGTGATGAAACCATATCGTTCTGCATTATGGCTTGTTGAAAGATGTTTTTTGAAGAGTTTCATGCATTGAGCAACAAAGTATTGATCGAATGCAGGCAGAGCGAGTTTGATTTGTATGGTTTCGGTTTCATTGCGATTGATAATGATTAAACTTGCTGCATAGAATTATCCAGCAAAACAATTACAATATAGAATTTGGTATTTTAGTGTCCTTAATGTACCTTAATGTATCTTTAGTATTTGTACATATTTTTGTGTTGAAGAAATTTACATAGGTAATTATCAGCTGTAAAATGACTGCGACTGAAAGACCGCCAGCTTGTGTTAGCGTAACGAATGATTGTGAAAAGTCCAATACTGTATGGTCATGCAGAATTTGGTCTTCGCTGTTGCAGTACATTGCAAAGTGAGCAGTTAGTTGGTTTTTAATATTCCTTGTACTACTACCTTTCTTGTTTCGTTGACAAGTTTATTGTTGTGTTAACTTTTTGCGCCAAGAATCGTTTCTGGCTGTGTACATTTTTTGCGCATTGAATTGCACCTTATAATTACGTTATCAGTATTTTTGAAAAAAATTTTAAATTGTGTCCACTTTTACATATTATGAGTTAACGCCCGGTTGTTCTTAAAATATCTGTGTAAATTATCACACAGGTAGGTCTGTCCACTTTGTCAGCACGGCGGTGTATCGCGCAGCGCTTTTCTCAAGTCACCACATTTTGTATCGTGTTCAAACGTTTCCAAGCGTAACCCATCCGCTTGATGAATAAACACACAAGTAATGATTTGGCTGCGTACATATATTACGGCGGCACCGTGCGATTATTGACTGACACCGGTGGCCAGGTGAAGAGGCGTGAGTCAAGGGCATCCTTTATGGGATACCAAATGACACGTCATTTTTTCTGGCATATTTCTCCACCTGACTGGCTTGTTTGTGCAGATTGCTCATCGGCTCGGAAGGTACATTAATGTGTGCTTTGTGTGTCTTTGGCAGGGAACGCCGGTATGGGTGCCCAGCGAGGAGACCGTGTGGCAGACGGCCACTCTGTTGGAGGACTATCGGACCGGAAGCCAGACGCTGGATGTCAGGCTGGAGGATGCTGCGGTACAAAATTGGAATGCACTAATATATGTTTCTTCAGGAATTCAGTATATGTTTATGCGTCTGATCTTATGTTTTGGACTGAAGTCATTTGGATTTACTAATGTTACAACTGTACAAAAAAATTCCAGTAGTTTTATGGTATCATGCACCCGCCCTGTTTGCATCAGAATGTGGTCAATTTAAAAAAAAAATAGTGTATTCGTAATGTTAGTTAAATTTTGAACATGTATCTTATTTGGTTCGCATTTGTTTTCATTGATTTGTAAATTGCTGATAATATTTGGATAATTTTAACTTACGTTATTAGAATACTGTAGTCAAACATCGTTGCAAGAGTAAGACCATCGTAGGGAAGTGTGCTTATAGTCTGCTCACCCGCTTTCTGGCAAAAAACTCAAATCTCACGATATTGTTTTAAATGACACATATTTCGATATGGCTTTTAACATTAATTTGACGATTTGGGATTTGATGATTTTTTCAGATACACGAGTGAGTTAAAAATTCGTAGCAGTATTTCGCATTTTTGGAGATTTTCTTGTATATGATCGTTTCGTATTTTGGGAACGTGCTCATGGAATGTAATTCAAATCTACAGACGCGGAGCTTGAAGATAAGCTCGGAAAAGGATCTTCCACCGCTGCGCAATCCCGACATCTTCTCCGGTCACAACGACCTGACGCAGCTCAGTTATCTGCACGAGCCGGCAGGTACGGATGCCTTTTGCTGTGTTCGGTGTTGCTGATTTTGTAATGGCTCCCTGGTGTTAGTAATCTATACACTGTTGTTCCATTTTGACAGTGCTGCACAATTTGCAAGTGCGCTTCACCCAGCACAACTCCATCTACACCTACTGCGGCATTGTTCTGGTGGCCATCAATCCGTATCAGGAGCTCTTTATCTACGACCAGAACACCATGGAGACGTACCGCGGCAGTGCTATGGACGAGTTAGATCCCCACATCTTCGCCATTGCCGAGGAGGCCTATACGAAAATGGAGAGGTGCGGTTTTTAATTTTGGAAAACGTAACATTAATTTTTTGAAACGAGAGGCGTCTTGTGCGCACAGCCAACACCAAGGTTTTTCGTCCGTAATTTGAGATGATTGTAGTGCAGTGTATATTAGCCGATGCAACCTCCACAATACACAGGTCATTTGAAAGTGTAGGAATTTTGAATATCTGTTGAATTTGTTTTTATTTGAAACTACTTGCATCTTCATCTCCATGCTGCATACACATTTCCACCAAAAACGGTGTATGAATAACTTTCGTTTTGAAAAAGCTGTTTAAATGCTTCTCGCTAAAAGCTTTGAAAGGCCTTTTTTTCAACAGTTGCGAACTGATTTGAGACTCATTCTGCTGTTTTAATTTTCCATGTATTTTCTACACATTTATGGGAATTTTTGGTGCTGAAGTTGTTTAGTTGCTTGGTTTTTTCGACTTAACATGACGCATTCGGTGCTGATTGCCCAGTATTGGATTCCTACGCATTTTGGATATGCAGACTGTACATTTATGCAGCCGCAAACTCGACTCACTGTTCTGCATTTTTTAGAAGTTTACTAGTTGGTTAGTTTAGTGAGTTAGCAGTTTGTGTAGTTTATAATTATTTTATGTATCGGAGTGCAGAAGTTTGATTCACATGGCTGAAACAGATGCTGTATCAATTTGAAGATCGTCGACCGGATCCTGATCAGATTGCGCGGTAAACGGTCAGTAAAGTGCCAAATATGCCATGCGTTACTTCGCCTCCGTCAACGGTTCCACCACGGAGACCAACGTGGAGAAACGTGTCTTGGCCACAAATCCCATCATGGAGGTGGGACAGCTGTTCGTTGGCAGCGCTGTTTTTCACTGGTTTAATTATGGCCTTTGCAGGCTATCGGTAATGCCAAAACAACCCGTAACGACAACAGCAGTCGGTTTGGTAAATTCATCGAGATTGACTTCGATAAGCGTTTCACCATTACCGGAGCGAAAATGCGGACGTACCTGCTGGAAAAGTCCCGTGTAGTCTTTCAGAGCGCACAAGAGAGGAACTATCATATTTTTTATCAGTTGTGTGCCGCCGCCAACGATCTCCCGGATCTGCATTTAGGTATATTGTCCTCACGTTTCGTTCTTTCTTTGCACGAGAATTTTACAGTTGAATTTGCGAATGAAATTTGCAAATGTCTGCAGAAAATGATCGCAAAATCGTCTTTGGTTTAACTGCATGTCGCATGCAGGCGCGTTAACAACTTTTTGAGTGAGTGAGGGACATCGTTGTAATTTTACACTTTCAAAGGAGCGCAAAAAAATCTTGATATTATTCCACAATTCACGACATATGTTTTTAATTTTGGAAACTCATAAAGCAGATTTCCGTTCCTTTTGTTAGGAGATTTCGACCACTACTACAATCATTGCATGATGTCTACGAGATTGGTTTTTAACATTTAGTGCGATTATTATTGTTAACATTTAGTTTTATTATTTAGTCATCCCAATAATGTGTTTAGGCGCAGCCGAACAGTTTCGCTATACCAATCAAGGCGGCAACACGGAAATCGACGGTGTGGATGATTACGAAGATTTCCGTACGACCTGTGATGCACTGGACTTGTTGGCCTTTCCCAAGGGTGACCAAGACGTTGTCTTCCGCATACTGGCGTCCATTCTGCATTTGGGTGATATTCGATTCTTTTCCAAGGATCATGAAACATGTTCCATAGAGGTATGTAATGGCGTACGCTAGTGGTTGATGTTTTTATTTTAGCGTCTTTTGTTAACAACATTTGCGAAAGAATATCACCTCACTGAGTCGCCGCATTTCAGAATGCAAATTTTCGTATTAGATTAAGACATTAAATAAAGTTTTCGGAAATCGTTCCCGGAGACTTTCGAAGTTAAAGCTGAACGCTTTTACAGCCGAGCAGAGATATCCGCATTAGAAAACGAATAATTTCCGTAAGAAGGTTGTGTGCATCTCTGATCGGTAGATTTGTTGGACATTCATTAGAGGTGTGTTAGTATGGCTGGTTGTAGTAAAATGGCATCCCACATAGCATGGCGCCTCGATTCTCACGACAATGAAACCCTTATTTAATACTATACCTGTTAACTCGTTCAAACTGTTTTGTTTTGGTAACGATATTAAACTTTTGCAATTCTGTACTTCTGGAGAGTTTTTTGTGGTTTGAGTTTGACGTTATAAATATTATGTGAGCGCGGCAGCCTTTTTGAGGTACTGGTGAGCGTTTAAATCGTTCCGTTTCACAGTTTAGGTTGATGATTTCACGATTATTTGTACTGAATATTTTTGTGACAGTTAAATTTACATAATTATTGCTGTGCGACAGCCTTTTCAGATGTTACTCGCATCCAAAAATGTTCGATTTTTTGTGTATTAGATTGATGATGTGCATTTGGCCATTTTTTCCCAACTCCTGGGCATCAACGCCAACCAGTTGAGCACGTGGCTGACGCGGCGCAAACTGGTCACCGGACGCGAACAGATGATCAAGCCGCTAAAGCTGCAAGAGGTTTGTGCGCCGGCATTGCGTTTCACAAATCACACTGGGCGATTACATGCCGCGAACACACCAGCAACAATGGATTTAACTGAATGCAGTAATGCAATTGTTATTTGTTGTGCCAATACAGGCGGAAGCGGGTCGCGATGCATTCGCCAAGCATATCTATGCCCGATTGTTCAACTGGGTGGTGGCGCATGTCAATAAGAAACTCATTCCCGAACGCCAACCGCACCATTTCATCGGTGTTCTGGATATTTACGGGTACGTTTTGTAAAGCTTGTTTGGTTTTTTTTTCAGCTTTTAAAACGGCGAAATTTCGCAGCACACGATTTTTAATTTCGTTTCGCAACAATATTTCGATAAGCTAATTACTGTTGATATAAAATTCCCTAGTGTTTTAGTTGATTTGTATTTTCTGTGAACCTTGTCCAGTACATTATAGTAATTATTCTCCGCATTTGAATATGTATTTCACGGCATGGTTGTAGTGATTTTACTTGGATTTAATGTTATCCTGTGCTGACGATCGCTTAAAGCGAAGTTTAGTCGCTCTTTTATCATATTGGTCAAGATTCTAGACGAACTTATCTTTTGAACATTGGCCGTAGTAAAATGGCTCGTATCCCACTCATTTTCAGGTTGCGAAATAATTAATTGTCTCCATGCAATAATCTGTTGAAAATGAATAGTGCATGTCATTTAACCGATTAATGCAGCTTTTTTGCTCCGTAACTTATAACGCATACTCTATTTTCTAAGTATCTATAAACCGATAATAATGGAGGTTGTGTGTGTCTTTCGTTCAGGTTCGAGACGTTTGAGCGGAACAGTTTCGAGCAGTTCTGTATCAATTACGTCAACGAGAAGCTCCAACAGCAGTTCGTTATCCATGTATTCAAGTTGGAACAAGAGGAATACATTAAGGAAGAAATCGAATGGGTGATGATTGATTTCTTCGACAACCAACCCTGCATCGATTTGATTGAAGGGAAACTGGGTATTCTGGATCTCCTCGATGAGGAATGCAAAGTAAGATACGGAAGCGGGAAAGCTGTATGCGTGTGAGAGCGCTTGAATTTAAGTTAAAACTGAAAGAGGTTTTCTCATTGAGTTAATGTTAACCTGTTTATGGGTGTTTTGAAACTGAAAAAATGAACATTTCGATTTTTTAACATCTTGACTCTAGAGTACGTAGCTATCGGAAGGCGCATTTAGTGGACAGGATGGACAGCCACTTTCCTACGTTAACCCATGAGTATCAAGAATGCTGGTCAATAGGGATATGTTGTTAATCCAGCAACGTTGTTGAAAACGGAAACCAGTTGTTAATAATAAGATAACGCTTTGCAAACTGGAAAGAACGATAAAGATGTGTGCAAAAGCATAGAACGATGTTGTATCGTTGCACTGTATGCAAGACAATTTATACGCAGATAGCATTTTATTGAATGGTCAGATACAGTAATTCGTGATTAGCACTTTACTGCTTGTACTGATTGCAAATTCTTTAACGATCTAAGGCGCTCGTAATTTCCACTGAGCCGGCTGAAATTTCATTCGAACTGTATATTACGCAGTATCGATTAATGAAAACGGCAATTTTTATTAATTCCTTATGTTTTTTTGTACGAAGGTTCCGAAAGGCTCCGATCAGTCCTGGGTGCAGAAGATGTACACCACCGCCAAGGAGCGCGAAAAATCCGACAAAGCCTGGAAGTACTTCGAAAAACCCCGCTTCTCCAACGAATCCTTCATCGTCGTCCACTTCGCCGACAAAGTAGAGTACGACTGCAATGGATTCCTGGATAAGAACCGCGACACGATGAACGAGGAATTCGTCAACCTTCTCCGCGCCAGTGATTACACCCTGGTGGCACAACTCTTTGCCGACACCCCGGAAAGTGCCGGTAAGACGCCGGACAAGACGAAAGTCGTCCCGCAGAAGAGCGGTCAAGGGCAGAAGATGAACACGCAGTCGGTGGGGTCGCAGTTTGAGGATTCGCTGAAGGCGTTGATGGCAACGATGACCAAGACGACGCCGCATTATGTCCGCTGTATCAAGCCCAATGACGAGAAAGCTGCTTTTGAGTTCGATCCTAAACGGGCTATTCAGCAGCTGAGAGCGTGTGGTGTGCTAGAGACCATTAGGATCAGTGCGGCGGGATTCCCCTCCAGGTACGGTTTCGGATTGTGTTATTCGGTCTAGGTGATGTTTTTTATCCGTTATGCGTCGATATCATGGTCTTTTAACGGTTTTTGTCGTGTTTTTTCGTAGCACTTTCTAACTTTCCATTTATCTGGGGGCGATACAGATATAGAAATTTGTATTTGTGCGTTTTTTTATTTCTTACCTGTTTCGCCCGTAAACTGTGCAGTTGAAACTAGGACACAGTAATAATGGTTGTTGTTATTGATGGGGAAACAGTAGAACAGTGGATAATGGATGAATACGACCTGCATGTCAAGTTGTTTCGAAAGCGTTTCATTACAGACTCGATCACAGTTTGGTTTCCGAAAAATTGAAATATTTTTGACATGGCTAATTTTTGCTTGTCTCATATCAGATCTGTAATTTGCGCATTACTTTTTCACAGATGGACGTATAAAGATTTCTTTCTGCGCTATCGCGCCATGTGCCACAGCAAGGAGATTGACCGGAAGAATATCCGCAAGACCGTGGAGATCATTGTGCGGAAACTGATTACGGATCCGGATAAGTACAAACTCGGCAAAACCATGATATTCTTCCGTGCTGGACAAGTCGCTTACATGGAGAAACTGCGGTCAGAACGCCGCATGGCCTGTGGATTGCTCATACAAAAGAGCATTCGCGGGTGGTTGGCCAGGAAGAAGTTCCTGCAGCTACGCAGTATAGCGATCAAAATCCAAACTATGGCGCGCGGATATCTTGCCAGAAGGTATGATCATGTGAATATGTTTGCAGTTGTGACCTTTTGCTATTTTATTTACGCGGTATCTGCCGGCTGAGGCTTTTTTATTGTGAAATAATTTAAGATTAAATGTATGTTATTGAAATAATAATGAGGTCAGTAATCATTTTAAAACAGCGACTGGATGTGTAGTCTAAGAAAAAAATATGAATTTACAATTTTTTTCATACCTCCACGTCAGTTTTTCAAATTTGTTGTTGTAAGTCACTGTAAAAGTATGGTAACTTAAACTTTTCAAATTACAGGCATTATCAAGAGATGCGCCGCACTGCCGCTGCTACCACCATCCAAGCAGCGATACGGGGATTTTTGGCTCGGCGGCGCTATGCGAAAATCCACAAAGCCACAGTATTACTGCAATCCCTGGCGCGTGGACGAGCGGCTCGACTGCGATATATGTCGGCATTACGGCACAAGAAAGCCATCGTCATCCAGAAACACGTGCGTGGATGGTTGGCGCGCAGAAAATACCAGAAAACGCTGCGGAGAATTGTGCTGGTGCAGTGCTGCATCCGCCGGCACCTGGCTCGCAAGCAGCTCAAGACGCTCAAGGTAGGATAAGTCGTGTGGATAAATTATTCGTCTTTGGTTAGTGTATGTGTTTAATATGTTTAATTTGGAATGTAGGTGGAAGCACGCAGTGTCGAGCATGTTAAGCAACTCAACAAAGGACTGGAGAATAAGATTATTCATTTGCAACAGAAAGTGGATGAACTGGTAATTTTTGTAAACCGTAAACCAAAGTGCTTTTTATGGTCGCAAAAGGAAAACATTGACAGAAATTTTAAAAAATCCGTAAAACATGACCAGGAAATTCATCTGCTAATGCAGTCTTGCTAATTATTTGTTTTCTTCGCCATCTTTAAAGTAAGTAATCGTGGAAATCATTGTATTAGTTAAACATGGTAATCTGAACTATTAGCGCAAAAAATTTACATCAGTTGAAACTATTTATTGCAATAAAATTAGTAAATCGTTATTGTTTAATTCGTACATCACCGAAGGCGAAAATAGCCACTATCGTTGCCGCTGAATTGACCCTAGCACTACAGTAATATTCATTTATTGCATACGTAAATGTCTGCCCTTCTTAATATTGATATCTTTATGATATAATTAAATACAACTCTGTTAGAAATACTGACAGGTTTTACTACTGTATAGTTTATCGCTGTCATTCTTAAGAAAGGCGACAACATCTTTTGTTGGCATGTTTGTGTAGAACGGTGAACTGGTTCAACGCCGCAAACTGGACGAGGAGATCCGTGAGCTGCGCGCCCGTGCCGCCATGGTCAAACAGCTCGAACACGAACTCCACCAGAAAGCGCTGGAAGCCCAGACCATCGCGCACCAGATGGACGATCTGCGCAAAACCCTCACCCACGAGCAGAAACACGCGGAGGCCCTAAACGGCGAGATCAGCAACTACAAAGCCGTCCTGGCTGATCGGGAGGCCAAGCTGGGTCACCAGGCGGAGCAGCATACCGACGCGCTGCAGAAACTGAAGCTGGAGAATCAGGCGCTGCATGAAGTCTCCAAGAACCGCAGCGACGTGGTGATGCGGGAGTTTGAAGAGCGCATTGAGACGCTACAGCGGGAGGTGGCGGAGGAACGCGAAGGCCGACAGCGGGTGGTCAATGATCTGGATCGCTGGAAACAGCGACATGCCAATCTGGAGGATCAGCTGAGGTGAGCTCAAGGGCTAGTTTTTAGTGCTATAGTTTCCACGGTTGTTGTTTTCGATTTTAAAAATTTTCGCCGTCCAGTAAGTGCTATAGTTTTCAGGGTTTATATTACACTTTTTTAAAACTTTGCCGAATAACAAGTGATAGTTCCCACGATTTTTTATTAGTTTTTTAAAAAAAAACTTTTGTCTAAAACCTGGAGACGGTTTTGTTATCGTCCGTTCTAATTCACATTTCGTAATTCTTATTATGCAATCGCAATTTCTCACACGGCGCTAGGACGCATTCTTTGCCACTGATCTACGATATCTATGTGCTGTATGTTGACTGAGAGTCCGAACGTCTGTATTTTTGAACTCTGATAATTATGTTATTTAGTGAAAACGGCGCCACACCTGCAGAATCAGATTGTGGGCTGTACTTTTATTCGAAGAAAGTAAATTTTAAAAGGGTGTTATAACGTTACAAATGGCGGTGTAGATTTTCTGGCTTTTGTGAAATGTGAAATGTTTTGTAGAATGGAAGGTGGTTCTCGGCGCGGTCACAATCGCAGCCCGTCGGATGTCAGCACGGGCAGTGTGGCTAGTTTGGATAGTGCGTCCACCGGCATGCTACCGGAAATTGGGGTATATTAAGTGGAACTTTTTTGCTGTTACACAAAACAAAATTATTCGTGGATGTTTTATGAGTAAGCTTTTTTCTTCCGTTAGGATGATGGCTATTCGACGCAGCGGTCGAAGAACACTGCGGGCAAACGCGGCAAGACCGACTGGACGTTGTCTCCCGATAAGATGCGCGAACTGCCGGGTTTTGCTGGGCTGGGTGACGAAGCACTGGTACGGACCTTCGATTTGCTGAATCTGAATTGTCATTCGTTGATGTTCAGTCATGTTTGGTGTAGGATTTGCAAAGTTTGAGTGGAGAGTTGACCAGTGCCGAAGAGGAGCTGCAGAACATAAAAATCGAGAACCAGACACTGAAGCATCAACTGCAAATCCGCCCGGCACCGGATGAAGTCATCAGTGAGAAGCTGCGTCGTTTATTGGAAGAGAATTTGGCGCTGCGGCAGTGTGCCCGGCAGGCGCTGGATGGATTTGAAGGACGTCTAAACGAAGAACAGCGAATCGGTAAGCTACTTCAGCTGGAGTCGTTCAGTTGTTTTCAGTTATCGTATTTAATTTAAATCATATAACTTTGTACAGAGGAATTTTGAATTAGCCCGGAAATGGGTTAATTGTAAGATACATGCGGCATGATGCCCGCTTTTTGCTATACCGTTATGATTATTGTCGTGTAGTGGCTGTAGACCGAGATTATGTACGTGTTCAGCTATTATTTACGTGTTACTAATATGTCAGATTATGTTGACTTGTGCTAAGAAAATTCGTTTAACCTTTTTGTTACGGCTTTGTCCTGTCAGCCTTTAAGAAACAGGCTAAACGATGTAGCAATAAGGTGCTGAATAGCTTTTTACTTTTCAGAGCTAATCCAGGCCCTGCAGAATCTAGTAGAACTGAACATCAACGGTGCTGGCACGATGGCCAACGTTCTGGTGGAGGATGTGAGCAGTTTAGACGGATCGTCGTTGAATCAGCTGTTCTACTCGCTGCGCGAAGCACTCACCATCCAGGCGACGGAGACCAGTCAGCTGGTGCAGGGACGCAACCAGCTCAGCAACCAGTACACGGCGCTTATTAAGGAGAATCAGTGCCTGCGGACAGTGGTCAATAAGGTAATAGTGCTGCTGTCCTGGTGTTCACCGTTAAATTGTGGATATGATTTGCCTATCATTTTCGCTTTTATTTTGTTCTAACTGGCATAACGTTATGAGCTGTTTACATTGATGCGAAAGCTTGTGAGCGGTGTTTTTCAAACTCAGCTGACATTTTGTCAGCGCCAGATTTTTGCTAACTGAAAGTACTTTGATTCCAACGCGAATTTTAATTGTATTAAAAAATTAATTATTTCTAATTAAGAATTTTGATATTCTTCCCAATTGAAATTTATGCATGATTAGTAATCGTACGCTTCTAATTCTGACCAAACATTTGTTTGCTTGTTACTATATTTTAAGTGATAATATATATTTTGCGGGGTTTCCCCGCTTGTAACTCAGGATCGTTTATATAGAAAGCGTAGTGTTGGGGCTTGTGTGATATCAATCTTTTGGTCTTCAGAGTCGTGTTATTCGGTGCAGATTTACCAGCGCAATGCAGTAGTTTGATAAAGCAGTTTTTTCATACCCAATTATAAGAACTATATTGGTCCGCGTCCCTTGTTTAGGAGAAATTTATGGTTTTTGATTATTCAAAGCTTCTGCTATTTATCGTACTTTTTTCGTCTGTTGCAGATGGCCAAAGCCGAAAGCGCGCGGAATGGAATAAGCGAATTAGTCACCGACACCACGGTGAGTACATATTTGTCATCTTTTGTATCGAAAAACGCATAAATGCAGCGCAGCAGTTGACCAGCTAACTTTGATGGACACGGCGCCGTGGGCGGTGTCAATTTAATGGGGCGAACGCGAACAGACGCCGGAGCGTTAAGTTATGGCTGGCATTTGAACTTTTTACTTCCGTGAGCGTGAATGATGCTGTTTTTATATGTGATGGTGATCCTTTACAACTCTTCTGCTGTTATTTGCTCATATTGCAACATGTAGAGCCGCTTAGATTTCGGAATATTCTTGATGGTCATGAAGATGGAGCGTAATTTATCGGATTTGTCGTTTCAGCATGTTATGATTCAAAACGAACATCTTCTGAAGGAGAATAAGGATCTAAGGAGGAAGATTCGCACGCTGGAGAAGTCGCTTTACGTGTATAATCAGCAAGGTTAGTGTCTGTCGATGGAAGTTCCGCCGTGTTACTGTATTTCGACGCACAAGATAGGTTTTATAATGGTAGTTATCGTTTTGTTTCATGAATTACTACATCGTTTTTTCACTTGTTTTCAGTATTATTCGGTAGCTGGTAATAATTTTGCTGATAATAACGATAGGTCAAATTTATGAAAATACGAATTACGAATCAAATTTTACGACAATACACCTGCTACGTTGTCAACTGCGGACAGTTCTGCTGTTACTTACGGTAATTTAGCGCCAGATACTGTGTTGAATCGGTGTAGTGGTCTGACTTGTAATAGCAGCGTGCCGGTGCATCTCGCAGATTATCATGATAGTTTTGTTGCTAGCGGAGTAGTATTTAGGTCATGACTTGATAAAGAATTTTGTTGTTTTTCACTTTCACTGCCTTTAATTTTCTAGCGTTAGTGAGTACGGTTTTTTGTCTCTTTCAAGATAAAAGTAACCATTATCGGTGTTTGTACAGGCACCACCCCCGCCGACCGCCTGCGCACATCCTCCCACAACGGCTACCACGTGAACGGCGACGATCTGCCCGTGATCTCCAAGAAGGGCGACTTCCAGGGTATCCTGGAGTACCCCGTGGAGCAGGCGGACCTCCTGGTGCACGCCGTGGTCTCGGTCACCCCGCCGGTGGCCACCGCTTTTACCGTGCCGGGATTACCCGCCTTCCTCTTGTTCATGGCGGTACGCTACACCGATCACGTGGACAATGAGCGCGCCGTCAAGCAGCTGCTGTCGGCCACGAAGACGGAGATTGAGGCGGTGCTGAAGAAAAAGAAGGAGCACGTGGAGTATTTCGCGTTGTGGCTGTTGAACGGGTTGCGGCTGGTGGATTTGATGAAGCAGTACGGTGGGGAGGAGAAGTTCCAGAAGGATAATACGCCCAAGATGAACAAGCACTGCCTGAAGAATTTTGATCTCAGTGTGTTCCGCGAGCGCTTCCATGATCTCTGCTTGAGTATTTATCGTTCCCTGGTGCAGCTGATGGAACGTGATCTTAAGGATGATGCCGGTAAGAGAATACACAGCGCCTAAATTATTTTTTTGATATTTTTATTCAGATTAATTCTAGAGTACTTGTAGTAAATTATCAGTGTTTTAACTAACTACATGCTAACTGAGAATTTAATTTTGATGACATTAATTTGAGAATTGTGGAATCGTTGTTTTGTACTTTGTTTAGCTAAATTAAAAAATAAGTTGCGTCTGCAGCTCACAAGAACTTTTATGTTGGTTTCTTTTAATGATGGTTTTGTTTAATTGCTTCTAAATTATAGTTACCTACATGCGTTTTCGTTGATGATCTGATGCGCTAATAATTAACTGACCTGTGAAGTTCACAATGGATGTGATCGTGTACTGTATATATCGTAGTTTAGTGGCTTGTTATGAATTGCTATTGCGTCCATTCTTGCGTTTTACTTACATACCGACTAACATTGTTTTCTCATTATGGTTAAAAAGGCTAGCCTTCAGTACTTTTTTTATTTTCGTAAATTTACTTTCATACACAAAAACTACGAGCGGTTGATCCAACTGGATCAGCTAGTTTTACGTGATAGTACCGCAGATTTTCATCAGTAATTTGACTTCTCACTGCTTTTTAAAAATTTTCCGAGCAGCGATGTTGAGACTGGAAATAAGTTATGTAGAAATATATAAACGACAGCGATAATGTTAATGTGGTTTTCTAAATTTAATAACCTTTGCAGCTAAAGCCATCATCGAATACGAGTCAGTAGTCGGTCTGAAGCCGACCGGGCAGACCCTGAGGAAGTGGAAGACAAAGAATCCGGCGGAATGTCACCATTCCATCCACCGCAATCTGGGCCGTTTCTTCCACCTGGTCCACGAGGAGCACGCCCTGGATCCGGCCATGCTGCGGCAGATCTTCCGCCAGCTGCTCTACTGCTTATCCGCGCACTCGGTTAACGTCCTCATGCAGAGTAACAAGCTCTGCACCTTCACGACGGGAATACAAATACGGTAAGGATTTTGCATAAAACACTGTTAATTGTTCGCATTCGCAGCTAAGTTAGTGGAAGTTAGCGTCATCGTTCGTCTTGAGAGCAGGATAAGCAACATTAATTTTTGGATAAGTTGTAGAATACTGGCTCCTGTGTGATCGTAATACCGAACAGTTATACTGTTGTGAGCTTTGAAATACTCAGTTAATATTAGACGCGTATAAGTTGTGAGTTAAAAACCTTTTGCGCAGTGAAGATAGTGATTTTAAACTTTCCATTTTTCCTAACAAAATTTACCGATGTATGGAATTGTTCGAAGGTTGAGTTTAATCTGTTTTTGTGCTATGTGAGTGGCTAAATTTTTGAGTCATGCAGTCTTGATGAGCATTTATTTTTAGTGCCAACGTGAGTGCCATTCAGGAATGGGTCCGCAATCACGCCAGCGTACTCCACCTGGACGAGGTGATGTCGGGCATGGACGCCATCACGGAGTGCGCGCAAGTGCTGCAGGCCAGGAAAGCCCGCGATGACGATATCGACAATATTATCGGATTCTGCAAGATCCTCTCCAATGCTCAGGTGTGTTTTTCCTGCACTCGTATGAAATAAAGGTGACAACGTGATGATGAACTGATGGGCTGTAGATTTTCTTGTTATTTCTTTCGTGTAATTTTTTTATCTCAGCGTAAAATAATTTCAGTTTGCAAAGTTTAACAGTATTTTCGATAATTACGATTTGTCAGCTACAGTAATTTATCGTTTTTCGAATTACAGTAGTTTTGTATGGGAATTTGGGGGAATTTAGGACATCAGATTCATTGGTTGATTATTTCTGATCATGATTAGGATCTTTATCTGGGCTTCTACTAATTTTAGCTTAAATTTTGAAATTGAATCTTATGCTTTCCTGAGCGTTTTCTGGTTGTATAAGAGCACTGTTTGTGTACGGTACTCACCCGTTGCCGTTAAATGTTGACTGTTACCATGTTATTTAAGAATACTGTTCGTTGATTAATTGAGCAGTGAATCTTAATGGTAGAATTGCAAAGAAGTAGCTATTTCGTAAATGCATGTGACGTTGGGAATTAGCAGAAATATGACAAGACGCCCTTTCGCTTTGCTTTCAAACCTACAGATTGAACTGGACGAAACCGTTTTTTGTAGATCCTTCGCCTCGTACAAAACTACACGCCAAGCGAAGACTTCGACCGCGTAGAGCCGGAATTCGTGAAGAAGATGCAGAAGCGCCTCCTGGAGCGGCAAGAGCCGAACGCTCCCGGTCTGCCCGTTCACACGCCGGGCTCGCCGCCGGTGACGACGTACACGCTGAACACCGACTACATTTATCCCGTTGTCTTTCCCTACACGCCCAGCAGCATCGAGCTGGATTCCGTGCAGCTGCCCGCCGAGTTGGGCCTGGATTTTGTTAAGAAGATTTAAGAAGTCACTGTGCCGGTGTGTCGATGTTCTCGGGAACGAAATACCTTTTTGCCAAGTGATATTGCGGAAATCAGTCAGGATGAAAGGAATTATTACAGACCAAATGTTCTTTCTCCTGTGGATGTGCTTCCTGTATCCGTGAAAGTATTTGATTGTTGCATGTTTTGGCCGGCTGGAGATTAGATGTGAATTGTCATGACAATGAGCAGCTTTTTTATGATGCATGTATCGATCGTTATTTTTTATTCTTGAAATGGATTAATGTTGCAGTTTTGTATCCTTCCTAATCCGTGTTTTTGATGTAACCGGTTTGCTAGACTAAGTCTGTATGTAACCAAAAACTAGAAACGAGGGTTCATTAAATCAACGATAAATTGTGGGGAATTTTTTCGATTAAACACGATGTACACAGTGCAGTGAAATTGCTTAAAATTTTAAATTTTGCGCAAATTAAGACTATGAATAAGTATGGCTTGGGCCTGCGTGTGCAGGTTCAGATCTTCCAGGATATCGGTCAGAACTCTGAAGTATTGAGGCAGGTGACATGAACATGCAGCCAGGGAAGTTGTGCCACAGTGCCGCCATCCCCATTGTGCAGATCGCATTCTACGCTCAGTACGCTGTAATTTGGAGCGGATGCTCTATCGAAAAATTATTTCGCGCATTCTGTTCTGGTTGGCAGCAATTGCGATGCCGTTTCCGATCTTCTCCACTAGCTGTGTGGCCGATCGGCTTCCGTGGTCTACGAATACAAACGCTGCGAGTACGAAATGGGATCAGTAAATTCAGTAAATTTTGTAAAATTCAGTAAAAATGGGTTCAGTAAATTTTCGTTTGTGGAAAGTAAGTAATCCGGAAAGACATTTTTCAACGCGTAAACTACCGTATCGGACGTTCTTAGTTGAAGGTTATCCTTCAAAACCAAAGGTCACCGTACATCAGCAATAAAAATACTTAACAACATGTTGCCGACTGTAAATTTTCCCCTTAAGGTGCTTCGGATATATCACAAGATAGACGGTAGACGGTTTCAATTAATTAAAACCGCATATCTTGCGATAATGGTCGGCTTTTAGCAAACGCAGCAAGATGCAACCACAATTCGAGAACAGTTGCGTTTACTTAGTTACTGTAATGTAATTTGAAGAATATCTGCTTAGTGCTGACTGCTGGGCTTCTGTAGTCTATTACCTTCGTTACATTTTGGCGTATGCGCAAGAATGTTCTACATGCAATATTTCAAGTTCAAATAAGTTAGCCTTTTCTGGGATGAAAAAATAAAAAAATATTTATGTGTTTAATTGTTTTGCTTAAAGCTCCTTGCTTAATAAATTGAGAGCACTGAAGCTAATGTAATAAGCTAATATAATAATTTCGTGCTTTCCAGTTGGCAGTTGCGTTTAAAAAGATATCCATTTAATTCCGTCATTATTCCCACTTTCGTGTTTGCCCTTTTTATTCTGCTACCCTTTTTATTATTACCCTTCTTATTCTGCTTTCACTCGTAGACGACAGCAACTCGACTGAGGACAAAATACTCGTATAACGTTGCTAGGTTAATAATGTCTGTTTCGTTGACAGGATGGATTCATGATTTCATCTCCCACGATGAGTTCCGGGGATCGAAAGATGACGAATTGTAGTCCCTCTGCAGCCGTGCATTTATCTGTGTACCCCTAAGGGTGGATTGGCTGCACTACTTACTCTCCGGGAGCCATTGTTCAAGAGGTCTGCCAGAGTCATGGGTGGCGCGCGCGGAATTGTTAGCAGAGAAGTAGGGCGCTGGCGCGTCGCCCGGCCTTCTCGGCAATTACAGATTAATCGGGGTATGATGATCGGGGCCCCATCCACAACTGACTGCGCTAGCGCTGCAGGATCGGGTTTGTATACGCGGAAACGATCTGCGGGTTTAGAATCGCGGGAATCATTTATGAAGCGCATTTCGTGATCTGCCAAGCGAACGCACTCCGGTTGGAAGCCAAACACGTCTGACTGCATCGTATACCAATGCTCGCCGTATACCACTTCGCATCCGTCCATGATTAGTTGCCCACAGTGTGGCTTGTAGTAACGCAATGTAAAAATGTCCAGATTTTTCCAGCAGAAGAATCTAAGCACCAGGAACGGCAGCTTGATTCGCTTAACTCCCAAAACGTCCAGCACCATACATGCTGTGCGAAAGTTAAAGTGCTCCGCCTCCCAGTCGTGGGCCCGTGCTGTGATGGTGACACTCTTCGTGGCGGAAGTGATCGCCTGGTTTAACACCATCAACATGGGGCAGCAGTTGTGCAGATCGGTTTGAGTGATTGGAACGTTGTCGGTCAAGACACTGAGATGATGCGTTGTGCAGGGATTGTCCAGTATCGCTTGCCACAATGCGCAGACTCTGTAGAATAATCACTCTATAGTGCAGCACAATGCTTGGGTAGAATTAGTGTTCCTATTTTTAAGACATCAATTTACATTAGACGTTTAAACCAAATTTACCGTATGGCTTGGGCCTGCGTGTGCAGATCCAGATGTTCCAGGATCTCGGTCAGAAGTATGAGAGGCAGGTGACATAAGCAAGCAGCCGGACAAATTGTGTCGGTATTCAAAGGTCTTTTGCCCTTACTTCCGCAGCTGCGCTCCAATCCTGAAGTATATTTAAGAAGGCAACCAATTTATACGAAGTACAAGAAGTAAACAGTTTTTTAAGATTAAAGCTAAAAACATCGCTTTCGACGAGGAATGGGGCACGATTTTTAATTTTTGTCTTATTCCCAGTTCCTGACTTCAGTGGGCAAAGTGCAACATTTGAGCCGAAAACGATGGAAGGTCATCTGAAGGCCTGTCCTTGAAGCGATGTACAGTGCGTCACACCGTTCCCTCCTGTCACCGGCAGGGGCGAAAAGGCTGACCCGGAGACAAAAATTTCTGTAACTTAACTATACAGTACTTACCTCGATATACTTTACTATATATACTTACCTCGATAGTGGCTTACCAAAAAATATGATTTTGAAATCGACTGAAAAATGATTCACTGTTGAATAAAGTGTGATAAAAGCTTATGAAAATAATTATAACTTGCAAAGCCTAAAATACTTAATAAAATTTACTTAATAAAGACATAGATGTATACAGTATGTAGAAGTCAGTGCATGCAGCCAACACCTGTGGAGACTTCCCGGGCACTCAGCGAGCACGTCGGTGCGGACCTGTAAAGGTCACCCGTGCAGCCAGGCGCCAGCCAACAAGTACCCGTGTGTAATTGTATCCGTGCACGCAGTTATAATGTAAAATTAGATTAAAGGTCCAGAGCTGCCGCGATACCAGATTTTCTTAAGTTACTGGTTCTGTGTTTTTAGCAGTGCCTAATATTATTAAGCTAGTGCCGCTTTTCTGCACCGTACTTCAACCTGCGTGGTACAGAATGAGTGAAATGAAAATTCGTTCTCTAATGTTAAAGGAGTTCTTAGATCGTAAAAGTATACACCACGCTTAAAGACAGTCTTGTGCTAAATTGCCCATGTAACTTCTAATGTTTCTATTAAAACTCGATGCTGGCAAACCTTCGAGATCATAAGTCTGAACTATCGGCAGACTACTATGGCACGCTGCATGCTGCTGTAATATCCTCAGCAACCTTTCGGCTGTCCAGGTTTTGGTTGCGGTGTCTGACTGGTATCGAACGACAACAAATGTGCACCGATCCGACCCGATTCGCAGATGGAAACGGCAGTTCCCCAAAAAAGATGTTCTTCTCTTCCGGATCAGGGTGCCCACAAGACTCATCACCAAAAATTTCAATAAACTGAAGCGCGTCTGCTGTTTTGTTAAATGCAGATTGCGTCGTGGCAACGAGGATTTCATGCTTGGTGTAAAGAACGCCATCAGTTCTTGTCAGCAGCGATGGTTCGCCCAGTGGTAACCGGCTCGTTACCTGGCACTGATTAACCACTGCAATACAAGACGCTCCATCTCTTCCACTTCCGGGTACAGACAGGTTCGTGCGGATGAAAAACATTTCGCAGGCGCTAGCAAAACTAAGCAAAGTGGCCGGACGAAAACAGCAGGGGCCGTTGTGTTTGTCGCGGAGAGCCGCGAACACGGAAATATTGCAATACTCTCTGCAATACGCATGCTCATGATTGGGCGGTAACTGTAACGGCCACACTCGCGATGCGGGGATGTAGCGTGCAGGCTCTTCGGAGGAATCAAAGTCAACCAACACTTTGTCATCGTCAATGTCCAGGATATATCCGAGCCAGCAGCTACCCTTCGTCGACTGCACTGCAACGGTGTTTTGATAGTTGATGAACTTCTTCCCAACCAAAGGCGATCGAAATGCCGGGAACACTAGTCTGGGATCCATTACGAGCTACAATAAGAAAAGCACCGCGTCCATTGCTAAGTATTGTATTTCTTAAGTGTTTACATTTTCTAAACTTGCATTTGATGGCTAATCTAATCTCTTTATAAGTGAAGTCCCGGAAGTGAGTGAAATGACCTGGTAGTACTGTGCTTCCACATTACTGCATTTATGACTCTTCTTACTGAAACCTATTTAGAGTATAATATTTACATACTGTATGCATTTTTGTAATTTATATTCTGTTACTGAACTGATAATGTATTGATGATATGTGAAATTCTAGCTTGGTGTACGGTAAAAGCAATCTTCAAAATTATATGCGTTTCTGGGCGATTGCGATCTATGTGTATTGAGGATGTATCTTTATTTGTCCTTAAGGATTGATTGGTTAAGAAAATATGCGTAATGCTTCATAAACTCAACAGGCACGGTAGGTACGCTACTGCTCTAGGTACGCCTGGTGCGGTAATGCTTACGATTTGACCGAGCCATCTGTTGCGTAATACTTCTTCCTGGAAAGTTTACGGGTTTTAGGAAACGGCAGGCAGTACCTGCAGTGTTCTGTGCCGATACAGTTTACGATGTTTACCCTTTTGGCTTTGCCCACAGGGCACAGATGCACTTATGCCGCATGGTTGGAATAATGGTTTTTAAGCATATGCATATATGCCAAGTAGTAACATCACGTTACCGATTCATTATAAGAGTGGAAACTCACTCCTGACAAATTTAAAGATATGAAAATGTGATGTATCTCCATTGAAAATGTACATACCATGTTGAAACTTGTCGCCAGCGCAACCACCACTCTGGCGCTTCTTACGAATCCTAGGTTTTCTTATGCTTCTTAGGTTTTCTTATTTCTTATGGTTCTAACTGCTAAGGTTTTCTTTTGGTTTCCATTCTGAGGTCAAACAGAACACGTTCCAAAGCAGTCTGTGAGTTTTTAAACTGCGCTCGCTACAGGGTGCAACAAGAATCAAGATACACCAATGGGAATACAAAACATTTGCCAGAGTGATTCTGCATTCCCGAAATTGACTTCTAACATAATATTACTACTCCAGATGTAATAATACTTATGTTAAAAAAGCGTCATTCTAATCAAGGGGTATAGGATAGGGGCTTTGGTTTCTTAGCAAGTAAATTTACGTAAACCACGGTGGCACATCGACAATTTTTGAACGCCTGTCGGCGATCAACGCTTGCGAACATGGACAAGCTGGAGTAGTCGAGCTCCAGCAGTTTCTGTACAGACACGTGCACACAGGTACTGTAAGATCAAATTAAGTATCCCGATGGAAACGACGGCCTCGTACGTAGTTTTGAAGTTATATAGAATGTCAAACAGCCACCTTCGTGAACTAGTGGAAGTACTGTATAAGTGTAAAAGTACAAGTTGCGAATTTACCTGACATACTACTATCGACGAGTACAGATACTTTGCATACATACAGTGTACTCGCTTTATATCCAAAAAATTTAATAAGCGCAAACAAAACCACCAACTTGCCTTATATCTCTGCAGCGATATGCGAGTATTCACATAAAAATGTAGACTAAAGAGTCTTTTTAAACGTTCAAAGGGAAACACTGAAGAAGATAAAATGTTAAGGGAAACAATGAAGAAGATAAAATGTTGTTCGTAACTCAGTCGTAAGCACCAAAACTGAGGTTTAATGCAAGTCGGCTTCCATGATAAAAATTCGGAATAAAATATCTGTAACAAATTTAAGAGTGTACCATTCCAACGTCTACAGCAGCATAATAATCAGTTAATGCAACTACCAAATCTCCCGGGCTCTTTATGTGCCCAGTGCCCATTCATTGCCCACTGCCCGTGATGCGTGCCAGTACGTATCACCTGAATCGCATATACGGCCGACCAGGCGGACTAGGCAATGGCCTAGTCCGCCTGGTCGGCCTGGATAACGCTAACCGCAGAATAGTAGTCTAGCAGAATAGAGGATAAAGAAAGATACAGATACAACTATGCCAGGGCTTGACACGAACAATTTGAAAGAAACCATTATTTTATCTGGGTTGCGGGACCCGGTGGCCACTGGCCATAAAAAGGTCACCGGAGAGTTATAGGCAGGGTAGAACAGGGGACATGCTGTTTCTAAAAGCATAGTACAGATACATGGCAGATTATGCACTGTTGCTCTGTAGGTGTTTTAAAAGTGCGATGAATCGCATTGGTTGCGCGGCTTGTGCCGATTAATGTCCTCGCTACCGTAAATTTTTAAATGCGCGGCTTTAAAATCGCAGATTTACAGCAATACCACGACTACGACAGTTTGTCGAATGTTTTAACCCTACATATAATTTTAATTAATGTCAAACAGCGCCGGCTTTTTGTCATATATGGACTGGCCATTGAGTCAACTGATGGATTATCAATTACGTGACTTTGTGTGCGGTACGCGTAGCGACAACTTCCGCATTTTTAAAGGTATATATTACATAACTACTATATATGTCAATTATGCAGGATAAGTCCTGTTATACCCCCCGAGATAAGGCGCACTAGCATGCGTACAGGGCCACTACAGGCGGTACAGCACCGGGCAGCAGTCGCCATCTCCGGCCCCGGCGGACCGGCACGCGGTCTCCTCCCACTCATCGGGCCCCGGCGCTCAGACACGTTTTGCATCCCTGATCTGTATTTTGATGTAACCGGTTTGGTAGACTTACAGAGATAACTTGAAAAAGAACAAATTAAATCAATCAGTAGTTTAAATAATTATCATGATAGCGTAGTACGCGCTTTCTATAATTATGATAATTAAGTTTACCGGCGGCCGCAAACTAGCGAAAATCGGCGCTATACAAAGTACAACACATCCGCTGAAATTGAAATTTGAATATAAACAAATGAATTGGAAAATTAACAAACCATACGGCGTCTACAGATACTCCTAACTAACGTACGTTCAGTTGTCTTTAATTCAACTGAAGCCAAATCAGGTAATACAATTATATACTTCGAGAATAAATCGTACATACGGCGCAATTGGCCTTTTGTAGTAATTGTAGTGCTGCCAAAGGGAGACCGCGACAGCCGACCATACATACATCAACCGACAGCGGTAACAGGCTGTAACTTGAGCACTGGCGGGGTCGTAACGTTACCGTTCAATCGATTCCAAGGCGGCAGTGCGTTGTGAAGTTTCGAATAACACGTCTTTCAATGCTCTTTCTTAATAACCGAGGCAGTTTGCAATTAAATACGAGCATAGGTCGCAAGAAACGTGTTAGTTAACAGTGTTCCGTATTCGCATTACTGTTTTACTAATCACTAGCACGGCGGTTGACGCAGCCAACGTGGGATTCAAAATTTATCATTCCTTCTTTGGTAACTGCAGTATTTCGATAATGCCTGTATTGCCCGTTGGCGAAGCTCCCGCTCTAGTTTTGTTATACAAGATCCGCACCGAGGAGTTTGTCCTCTGCCCGCCGCAGCCTTACGGCGGCGGAGAAGACACCTGCCGATATGTCATCGACATAGCTGTTAAGGAACAGCCGAAATACCCTGACATTCTTCCATCGGTGTGGACTGTGCAACTGCTAATCTGGGAGAAGGATGGAAAAGCTACAGCAACTGCAACAGTTAGCTCTAAAGATGCCAAGAGTAGCAGCACAATGATGGTAGAGTACGCTGTCCGGTACGTACATACTGTGTCCCCAGTGACTCCCACTAACCAGTAACCAGCGATCACATCGCTTAAATTTAGAAAAGCTTTATGGAAATAATACTAAACACAAAAGATCCGATCTTACCATTTAATTATACTCTCTGCTCTTCAGAACTCGCGCACCGTGCGATTTTGAAATCGAATTAGAGCAACGCGCTCAGGTGGGTTACAGCAGCCTGCTTACCGAAGATCTGACCGTCGCTGTACGTGGCTCTTGCGGAAAAACCCATTACCGACTGAAAGCAAACGGCCTTGTATTTGTCAACTTAATTTTTCACGCAGCACCGTCAGCCATGCAAAGCAGCAAAGACCGACTGGATTTGCAGCAGTTGCGGGAATCGCAGACGCTGTCCGACTGCAAACTGGTCTGTGCCGGTCAAGAGGTCCCTGTGCATCGTGCCATCTTGGCTGCCCAGTCGCCGGTTTTCGCCGCAATGTTCCAGAACGACATGTTGGAGAAATCGTCAGGAGTGTGCAAAATTGACGACATCGGTGTGGATGTTCTGGAGATGATGATTAATTTCGCCTACACGCGAGCGCCTTTTGAAGCGAACAATCTGATGGAGTTGTGGCACGCAGCGGACAAGTACGATATGGAAGATCTGCGTGCGGAATGCGTTCGTCGGATGACGAACTCAATCACGACTGATAACGCTCTGCAGTATTTCAGCTTTGCTTGTGAGCGGGGTTTGATCCAACTGAAAATTGCTGCTGGAACGTTTATTGGTCAAGATCCCCGTAACATCGCTTGAGCCTGGTCTGATCGGAAGGAGAAGCCGGCGTTTGGTTGCAGACTTGCATATTAATGATATATCATTCATAGCTTTCCTTATCGCTAACGGTTTTAATCCTGCTAATCGGACTATAAGTGTGAGAGGATTTGATTATTTCCCTTGTCTTTTCCTGTGCTTAAATAATAGTACTAAGAGTAAGTATCCACAGCTGGTTTTCTCCTTGTTGTGCTTCCTATGATGCAGATTGCAGACGCAGTAACGCTTTGCAAGCGTATAATTACGCATTCAGGTTCGTACAGATGCTGGCTTCTGTTGATACTTAAAATAATGGGACAACATGGTATGTAATGAGATTACTAAAATTATTCTACATGATGTCCATTTATTTCGTCTAGTGATGTACGTCATCCGAAGTACATTGTATTAATTTTCTCCAGTTTATCTACCATCGATCGATCGACGACGATGACCTTAACAACCTGAAGCACTTCAAATGGGCCGCTTTGTAGCGTAGTTAAAGAAAGACCGCGGCGGCTTACGGCGACGGTACAGCGTTACAAGTTAACAGCGGTATGCTTTGTGCACTCATTCAGACATAGTTCCCGCCCCGCGCTCCCAAACTGCAAAATTCAGCGCACTCCCATAATTACATATATGCGACGAATTACTGTACAGTACATAATATATTATGCAGCAGTGCGAGTATGCGGGAAAGTTTGAACTCTGAACAGCTAGAACAGTCTTATGTGTAACACGGTCACACACACAGTCACACAGAGACCGACGAAGACAACCTTGATCAAGCTTAACATTCTTGACTTTCATGATTTCATTGAATTTGGCGTTTAATCTGGATTGGGTTTTATTCTTTTTCTGGTAACCATAATAATCGAGAATGCCTGTATTGCCTGTAAGTCAGGCTCCCGCTCTGGTTTTGTTGTACAAAATTCCCGCCGAACAGTTTGTCCTGTGTCCGCCGCAATACGCGGGCGCACCGCCGACTTACGCCGTCGATATACGTAACTGTTGAAGAACAGCCGAATTTCCGTGATATCCTTCCATCGGTGTGGACTGTGAAACTGACGGTCACAAACTCAGTTTTTGCTGCATCAGCTAGCCCTAAAGAAGCCAAAAGTGGAACCACAATGATGGTTGAATATCAAGTCCGGTACGTCAGTAGTACTTACTGGCCAGCGAATCCGCGAATATATCCCACAAATGTAATGAGAATACTTTATGGTAATGATTCTGCAGAGGTAACCGGAAAATTAGTCAGTATTTTGGCTGCATTTCAGGGCTTTGGGGTCTTGCGATTATAAGATTGAGAAGGAGAAATGTTCGGTGGTGGATAGCAGCATGCGGAGTGCTATCGGAGGTCTGAGCGCCTATGTACAATGCCCATGCGGAAACTCCCATTACCAGCTGAAGCAAAACTGTCATGTGTTTGTCAACTTGACCTTTTTCCCGGAGAAGACGACCGGGGAAAGCACAGACCGTCTGGATTTAAAGCGATTGCGGGAATCGCAGACACTGTCCGACTGCAAATTGGTTTGTGCTGGTGTTTCCCGTGCATCGCGCCATCTTGGCTGCCCAGTCGTCCGTTTTTGCCGCCATGTTTCAGAACGACATGTTGGAGAAGTCGTCCGGAGTCTGCAAGATCGACGACATCGGTGCGGATCTTCTGGAAGTGATTATTCACTTCGCCTATACGCGTGCGCCCTTCAAAATCACAAATTTAATGGGGTTGTGGCATGCAGCGGACAAGTACGACATGGAAGATCTGCGTGCGGAATGTGTGCGTCGGATGGCCAGCTCTATCACGGCGGATAACGCTTTGCAGTATTTCAGGTTTGCTCGTGAACACGGTTTGACCAAACTGATAATGGCCGCCGGAAAGTTCATTGGTCAAGATCCACTTAACATCAGTTAAACATGGCCATGGACTGACACAGTGACACTACTGTGTATAAACTATAAAGCTGCTTTTCGTTGTGACTTGTGAGTGCGTCGACATTTGTCGTGAACAGTACTGGATATACAATTTGTTTCCGTTTTGGGTTTTCTTACAGCCGAAGTTATCATGAATGCTGTTCTAATCGCAGGAATTGTTAATAATGTTTGTATTCGAGATGATCATTCTTGCTTTTGTTGAAAAATGTGGAAATCGTTTAAATTGAAAAGTTTTCTTGGTTGTCATAAAGATTGTTGGATTGGTCGGTTCAGTACGTTATGATTCGAGTTGGACATATTTAGAAAGAGAGTACAGTACTTAAAATTTAGAGAAAACCCGTCACATTGGAAAAGCCGGTTGTGTCTACTAGACCGCGTGCGATGACAAAGTGCTGCTTGTGGCAAAATTCAAAATGCACCATTAATTGGATTTACGCCCATTTTTTTACTGGAATTTCCCAATATTTTTAAGTTAAGCAGTTTGACATGGTAAAGGTGCTGTGCGACTGAAAAAAGGCAGTAGCAATATGCACGGAGAAACATAAATTCAAAGATTGTTATTCGTAACTGCTAGACAACGGGAGTACGGCACGACGACACAGTAGATTTGGAATTTCAGACACTCTCGGCATCTCCCCGAAGACGAGAAAATATGAAAATTCCAAAAAGTCGGTTTTTTGGAATTTTCAGAATATGCCAGGTTCAGCCAAAATGCTTAGCCTGGCAAATTTGCGAGCCGAGCTAAAACTCTGACCAATCACAGCTTCCTTGGCGTGACGTCGATTTCAATTTTCGGTAGCACGATCATTTTCGACTTCCGGTTGCATTTTGCTTTGGAGCAAATCGCACTAGGTACACTGCCTAGAGTTGCAGATCGACCGGAAATACATCACTGTACCAGTAATTCATTGCCGATACATACTAACATACATACTGCTTTAAAGGTGTTGTTGACACAACACTTCAAAGGGCAACCTGGAAAAGCAGTGCGGAACCACACGAAATTGCGACCTTCATAAGCACCGCACGCTATCAAAGGAAGACCGCGATAGTGCCGACAAAGTTTTCGTACCGCAAAAGCTGCGCAGTGTGCACACTGCGCTGGACGCTCTCTCCCATAACATCCGCTGAGTCGGCACTCTTAATCAACGAATTCGAAATGGCAATGTTTTAGAAGACAGACCAAATCCCAACTTTCGCCGAGCAAAAATATTTTAAGTTCAAGAGCTTCTCTGTTTTAAACTCTTTCATTCCTTCTGAAATAATTATTATGAGTATTTCCAAGATGCCCTTTTTGCCCGTTGGCCAAGCTCCTGCTCCTCTAATCTTGTTTTACAAGATTCCCCTGGAACAGTTCACTCTGCTTTCGCCGCAATACGGATATCAATCTCTTCACAGCGTCGAAATAGCTGTCGAAGAACAACCAAATTATCCCGACATCCTTCCATCGGTGTGGACTGTGCAACTGGCGATCATGGAGAAAGATGGAGCTGTTACTGCAACCATTAGCCCTAAAGAAGCCAAAAGCAGTGGCACGATGATGGTTGAATATATTGTCCGGTATGTATTCCAGAACTCTCAATCCTCACATCAGTGACAACATCATAATAAATCTTTTGCAATGATAGAAACTTAATGTTTGATGTTAACCATAGACGGATCACGTAATACACTCACTACTTTTCAGAACGGCTGGATCGTGCGATTATAAGATCGAGCTGGAGAAATGCCGCAGTGTGGGAGCCAAGTTGTACAACCTGGTCGAAGTTGTAAAGGGCTCATGTGGACAATATCATTACCGGCTGAATCGCAGCGGCAGCGTGTTTGTCAGCTTAATATTTTATCCGGAGAAGTCGTCCAAGGAAAGCCGCAAAGAGCGGCTGGATTTGAAGCGATTGCGGGAATCGCAAACGCTGTCCGACTGCAAAATGATCTGTGCTGGTCAACAATTCCCCGTGCATCGCGCCATCTTGGCCGCTCAGTCGCCGGTCTTCGCTGCCATGTCTCAGCACAATATGTTGGAGAAATCGTCGGGTGTTTGTAAGATTGACGACATCGGTGCGGATGTTCTGGAGATTATGATTAATTTCGCCTACACGCGTGCACCTTTCGAAGCGAACAATTTGGTGGAGTTGTGGCATGCCGCGGACAAGTACGATATGGAAGATCTGCGTAAGGAATGTGTACATCGGATGGCGAACTCTATCACGGCGGATAACGCTTTGCAGTATTTTAATTTGGCCCGTAAACACGATTTAACCAAACTGAAAATTGCTGCTGGAAAGTTCATTGGCCAAAATCCCTGTAACATAAATTAAGGATGTCTCAGAAGAAATCAGAAGGCGAATTTTCACTTTCTGGCTTGCGGCTCGCAGGTTCGTACCCTACTCGGTTTCCTTTACCGCTTAAGTTTTGATTCCGGCTATTACCATTTTAAAAGTTACGACTTTCGGGGTTTACTTAAATACTGCTAGTACCGCATAACGCGATAGTGTTTATTTACCACTTACGAGTACGAGTACGTTCTTCGATCTAACATGGTGAGAACTGTATTATTTATAGTACTTTTGTTGTCTGTATGTGAATGCCATTGCGCTTCGCAGACTTATTTTTGCTCATTGTTAGTTTTATACGGAAAAATGCGATTTAAGTTACGTCATAATGTTCTTCATTTCCTATGTTAGCTAACATAGTTCAACTATAGTTCAACGTCATCGTGCATGTAATAATTAATAAAATTCTGTTGGCTGGTAGCGTTGTGGCCACACGAGTGATGAACAAGGAAGTAGTAGTCTAGTACTGTATCTGTAATACAAAGTACTCTCGATGCTGCAGCTTGAATAGTCTATGGGCTCGACTGCAAAAATGTCTTTATGTTTTTGAACTGCCGAATTCTAACCCGCAGAATCTTCTAGGGCACGAGTGAGCCCGCCATCTCTATGTACCTAAAAATAAAATGTTCTTTTTTCCATAACATTCCTAACATGCAGGACGCAGAGTGCTGTGGAGTGTTGGGATGCCAGTGGTAAAATTGCACAAAAACTGTGTAAAGCTGTAAATGTTTCCGAGCGTAAAAAGTACGTACAAAGTATATGTTCAGGTTGATGAACACATATGCAGTACTTTAGTGGCGTCGTGCGCTACAGTATTTATGTAATTGTATAAAAGGCGATTCCATGCGGCGATCATGTGCAATCGGTGACAAAATGAGAGCAGACAGTGCTTTACAGCCAGCGAAAACCTTGCAAACCAAAATCTCACAAGCCTCTGAAACCAGTGCAGATGCACGAAGGAGATAAAATAGAAGTACGGTATATATAAGGCACGAGAATAACATCCATTTGGGATGAAAATGGATGATAACAATCCATTTTCGTCCCAATGGATGTCGGATGATAGAGCGAAAATACCGGCTTGGGAGATGAAAATTAATAAACTTTTAATACACTGTACATGTCCGCACTGGGCAGTAAAAGATCGTATTCGGATGTCAGTTCGAGCCTTTAAAACTGACCATAAAAGTCAGTTCAAACAAAGTTATCACACTTGGCCGTGGTAAAAGTGCTTTCTTCGCACGAAGACTATCAACAAAATTACTTTACTACTTGATTAACTTTACTTCACTACTTCGGATGATGTCTGCACAGGCGTACTCGTAGTCATTTGTAGATTGGTTGAATAAATTCCTTTTTTCCAATTCGTACATTGCTGTAACAGGGGTGTCAAAAATAGCGTGGCATAACTCCATGAATACTTTAGTCTTGATGATGGAACGCCTACGTAAGATATTATCGGAATCCGATGCTTCACAACGTCGATTTTACACATTGCACCAATGGCCGATGACATTACGGCGATTACGACAATCAGGTTGTTTGTTATTACTGCAGAAGACCGCAGTGTACCCGCATGCCGTAATGAGCGTGATTATGTAGTACAGGCTACAGTATGTACAATATCATAATATTACTAAACCTTAAGGTATTCCATCGAGCTTGCACTTTGTACGATGACGTCACGGTAGATGAAGCGTCCTGTGCGAAGAGTGGGCAACCCCTGCGGCTTTCGTGTTTGCAAAAACTTTCAGATTCGCCGAATCTGTTCGTACTATGGCTCAAAAAACGCAGAAAAAAATTTGAAGTTTGAGAAGTAAAGATTGACAAGTAAAAAGTGTCAGGAAAACGAGACGTTAACGAACAAAGTAAATATTGCTTACCACGAAGGTCTATGAGGCAGTTTGCCATAGACCTCTATGCTGACCAAAAATCATTTGTTTTGATTAAAATTAAATTGTTTGATGCCTTTGATTGACTGATCAAATTTTAATTGTTTTGTTTTGTTTAGCTGATCAGGTTTTAGTTGCTTCGTTTTATCACAAGTTAAAAATCAAAGATTTTCGATCAGCAGGGATGTCTGTGGCAAACCACCACGTAGACCTCTATGCTAGTGATAAGAACGTAATCCTAAAACTTTCGTGTTCCTGACAACGTTTCATTTACCCACTTCCGTTTCCCAAACTTAAAATTTTTTTCTGCATTTTTTGAGATATACCACGAACGAGTTGCATGAATCTGAAATTTTCAAACCACACCGATCCCGCGGGGGTTCCCTTGTGCGTTGGACAATGCGTTTCACATATCGTGACGTCACGCCAGTCGATGGAATACCTTAAGGTTTAGTAATATTATGACAATATGTACACCTGATAAGGTCGTATAGCGGCTTATGCTAGGGCCACACTTCAAGTGCGAAGGCCTTCGCACAGTGCGAAGACAAAAAGTGCTAATAAGTGTGAGCGCAAAATGTTCTAAGGGATCCTTCGCATCGAACAAAAAGAATGAGCGCCTTTCGCACTTTTTTCTTAAAACGAGTGCGAAGAGCGTCTTCGCACCGTTTTTGGTGGGAGGGGATTTTCTTTCTCCTTCGCACTTGTGCGAAGGAATGGACCAATACCGAGCAACCGGATGTGATTCTGAATGTTTCTAAAACAGATAAATAGCATAAAATAATTAGTGGTACCTGTTTGTGCAAATGTATTATGTGCAAGTGTATTACATGCATTATCAATAAAAGGTCATGCCTTGCCAACGTTTCTTTAAAAATTTTGTTGACTGTACTTTTCCCTAATCGATATCGAATTGCGATATCGTGCTGAAAACAACCGCTAGCCAAAATTCTGTAAACGAAATCATTTAATTATAGACCCGCCAGTGCAGCGACGTTTTTATTGACAGGTTATAGGTGTATATGATTTTGTACAAAAATCAGCACGTATGCATACAACTGTAATGGACAGTAATCTAGACGTTGACAGCAGACGTTAACGGACAGTAGCGCGTGATCAAAACGCTAGACAGGAGGATGGTCAACAACAGACGTTTTTTCGGCAGAATGTTAGGACGCATTTTTCAAGGGAGGAATTCAATTCCGCTTGAGAGAATTATTAAGGATTATCTCATTGCCACAATAATTTTAAGATTTATAAATTCAAACCGAAATGCAGTAGCTCTCGACCTGAATCCCGTCAGTTTTGCGCTCATGACTTGGTGAAGGCGGAGCAGATCTCAGTTTCGTAGAAGTTCGATGAAGTGTGAGTGCTGACGTTTTAAGCAAATTTTGTTCGAACTTTTTCTTCGGTTCGCACCTCTCGCACTTTTTGGTGCGAAGAAAAGCTTCGAACTGTGCGAAGGAAAAAAGTTCGATGAAATTTGCATCGCACTTGAAGTGTGGCCCTAGCATTACTACTTATCAAACTTACCTAACTGAAAAGGTGCGGGTATCTAAAAACGTTATGGCTTACTTGCATTCTTCTATGGGTGTTATGCTGCTATCAGTAGGTATATCAGTAGGTGAAGTATAGTCACCGTAGGTAGTACATATTATAATAGTATAATTATATGACCTTATCGGATATTATAATTAAAATCTGTTACGGCATATATGTAACATGCTACGGTTTGGGCTCCAATCTGAAATAAGCAGGTTCCGGTACGACATCACTGGACTGGAATGTCGTGTAATACTGCTTGCCGGTATTTAAGATAAGAACAAAATACCATTGTACAGAGTGGACTGAGGAGTACTTTGTACCGGGACCGCATGCAAAGTGCAGAGCAAACAAGCGCTCTTACACATAAATGTTCGGTGTAGAGATCCGCAGGATAGCCATATTGGACATTCCAAATTTATCGCAGTTCAATGTCCGCTCATGAAAACTTAAGCAACTATAAGTCATAAGCAATCGTTGACGCACTATGCCAATATTGCATCAGATGCTGGGCTGATTAATAACGATTGTATAACGTATAACTGATGAGCTAAACTGTGATTATTCCAGGACAACGCTATATATAAGGGAATAAGTGTTCGAGATTCCACATTCGTACCTGAAACCATTATTAAAACTCGAGAAGACTTACCTGGTTGGTACACTTCATCTTGCACACCGTCTTTTACTTAGCGAGCGCAGATTTCATCGCACACCACTTGTGATTTTGGTTAAAGTGGCATTAGCCTTTCCTGTTTGCCGGGATAATAGCCAACATGCGTCATACACTGATTGGATTCATCGGGATTTGCATGATTGTTACCGTATTTTCAAAGGTAAAATGCTGCGGCACTTGCTGTACTGCTGTTCCTCAAATAATTCTTGCGAAATAACTCTGACGTTAGCACTATAAAGCGCCAACCACAAAAAAGTTGTTTTGGATGCGGGAAAGCGCAGTTACGTTTACATGTAAAGTTATAAGTACCGGTAGTTCTACAACTTAATGGACTAACATAATGGTAGTACGCAACTCAGTCTAAGTGAATACGGTACTTAATACCATTTGTCCCTCGCTACATGTGCACAACCATACTCACAGCAAAGTGGTGACTTCTGAAGCATCTGTTGTACGAGTACTTGTGCAATGTGCAGGATCTGACAATCGGACAACTGAGGAAGACACTTGGCCATGATGTGGTATCGGTGCAGCATCATACGCGTCCGTTAAATATACCTGGAGGGAAGTGGCTAGATAAAAACTTGGGCATTCATCACAGCGGCAACGTTTTCAAGACTGCATCCGGCGACACCTGGCTGAGTCACAAAGTGCCCGGAAAGCTAGGCAAAGGCGGTAACACGGTGATAACAAGTGCTCAACATATGTCCAGCAACTGGAAGGTAATTAGCACGCAAGAATTTGGCAAATTAAAAGAAATAATATTCTTTTCTAGTGTACAATGGAGTTCTATTTAATATACACATATCGGTACAAGTTGTGCAGAATATAAGAGAGCAATACATTTTTGTAGGCCTCTGGAAGAGAACACAAAGTGAAGCCAGGTTTTACGCTGTCGGATGCCATCAAGGCCGGAGGAAAGAATTATAATGTGTTTAAAAGCAACTGTAACGATGCATCCTGCAATCAGCTGTTCCAGATAAACAAGCACAACTTCGGATCCCGCGGTTAGGCTGTATGCTTTACTATGCATACTTTGCTATTCCCTCAATCGAACCGAAGAAAATTCCGTCATGATTGTATAGATAGAAGTACGCAAATTGTTACTGCCGCCGTGGTACAGTGGGACACATTCTCGAATTTTGTGCTATGACTTAAGCAACATAAGGCTTATTAGTTGTTGTTGGTACGCTTAACAATCATGAAGAGAGGTAAAACTGAATAATGGAAATTAAAATTAATAAAGTAACTCAGACTAACAAAAGTACCCATGCATTTGAAAAGCGTATTACATACTCGTATACGGTATAATCAAAACATCGAATGAAACTGATCAATTCTCGTCGACAGAATCATGGTGTGCTCGTTACACAGCTCAATGGACGACCCTAGTGACCCTACCGAGACGGGCCGAGGCATCACCAGTTGTAGAAAAGTCGGGGTTTTCAGTTCCTTACGAAATACGTAGAACTAATTGTAAGCAGTATAGTCTGCACAGATACGCTACTCTTGCAAATACATTTGTGCACCATTTCACTTTTGCTCATCTCGGAAACAAATTTAGCAGATTTTCTCCCGTTACATTTTCATTCCACTGTATTCTTTGCTCTGGCTAAAGAACTGTTAGGCATTATTACGTAACGTTTGCAACTGTGACCTTTTCACCTAAATCCAGCTTAGTGCATCATGTACTCAGTATGTGAAGTTGTGAACTACCGAAGGATCTTCCGTTGTTATTTCTTTTCCAAAAATGAAAAGCTGTCGGCATCGGCACACAACAAAATTACTTAATCGTATTTAAGTGGACAAATATGTCGAGAAATGGAGTAAGTTATGTAACACATTTAGCAGCACTTCGGCGCTGAGAACTGATGAAGGTATGGTGAAAACAAAACCTCCTGCCTCACTAATGCATCCGTTGCCGAAAGCATAATACAAATATAATAATTATAAGTCGATCACTACCATAATAACTTTGTAAACCTTATCTTTTAACCGGATGGAATGCACAGTATTCTTGGCTTAAATTTTTTGTCGTTCGCTTGCAAGTGTCGAAAATAACAGGCGATACAACTTGATCGGGCAGATGCAGTAGTTATTGCACAGATACAGTACTCGTACTGTAATAAGTACGCACTACGCAATTCAGAATCTCCAAAGGAAGGCTGCAGTAATGGGAGCTCTGTTGCTAAGTATCAAGATGCCGTTTAAAACTTTAAATATATTACGTGTGGTTTCTTTCGTTTAACTCGTTAGGCAAAAAACCAGACACGCTTGCCTGCACGTCAGTTTGTGGTTCTACCTACGAACCGCAAATCAAATGTTTAGTCTTGTGGACTGTAGATATCATGAATGACATTAAATTACCAGGGAAACGGGAGTTTGAAATCGTAACTTCTCGATTGCATGCTGTTAAAAGTCATATGTAAAATCAGATTTACTCGATTGTATCTCTGCTGTGCAAGCGATTAAGTTGACTCTCTGCATTTCTTAAATCTGTACGACTGTACGAGTACCAGTAAAACCGGTAAGCCGGTTTCCTGTCACTCGCAGTATTTCGCGCTTCGTCAAATTCTGAGTTGTAGAAGAATCTCTGCTTTGTGACACTGTTTCTATCACCTGCTAACATGCCAGTATCACCGTTTCGTGAAACTCCCGCACGAAATTTGATGTACAAGATTCCCACTGAGCAGTTCGTCTTTGTACACTCGACTTATACGGCCGATATAGCAGTTGAAGAGCAGCAAAATTATCCAGAGATTGTTCCATCGGTGTGGTCTGTGGAGCTGACGATCGCAGAGAAAGACGGAAAAGCTGTTGTAACCGCAACAGTTCGCCCTAAAGAAGGAGTCAAAAACACTAGCACAATGTTGGTGGAATGCACTGTCCGGTATGCCGTACTTTGGGTACTTTACGGAAGTTTTGGTGGACGTACTACGGTACTACACCGTATTGGTAGTCCCTTGCGCCAGGGCGTTGACTTTGGCGATCACGTAATAGGAAACAAGCCTTTAGGGAGACATTTACTGTAATATCTTGAACAGTATCACAAAGAATTCCATTCGTTGTAACTTAAACGCAAGTAAAAATTTCAAACAAACCGATTAAAGCGCTTGCTTCCAGGATTGGCGTACCATGCAAGATCGCACCATATACTCGGAAAGATTGCGGCACTCCGTCGCTCGAGTCACTGACCACAGCTGTTTATGGCTCATGTGGGAAAAACCATTATCGACTGAAACAAAACACCCATGTATTTGTCAATCTGTTCTTTTATCCCGAGAAGTTAACCGGAGAAAGCAGCAAAGACCGACTAGATTTACAGCGATTGCGAGAATCGCCGACGCTGTCCGACTGCAAATTGGTCTGTGCCAATGAAGAATTCCCCGTGCACCGCGCAATCTTAGCGGCTCAATCACCGGTTTTCGCTGCCATGTTCAAGAACGAAATGTTGGAGCAGTCGTCAGGAGTCTGCCAGATTGACGGGATCAGTGCGGATGTTCTGGAGTAGGGTTGTTAACGGTGCGGTGCGGTGTACACCGGTGTGCCTTCGGTGCGGTTTTTTACAAGAAACCGCACCTAGCCTACCGGTGTAAAGGGAAAAATCGCACCGGACGGTGCGGTGAAAAACAGAAATCGCACCGCAATTTTTCACACCGCACCGCACCGGTGTACACCGGTGTAGCGCAAGTAAATAGCCGAAAGAGCAACTAATTACCGATTTTATTTTTTATCAGTTTCAACAACTTCTTGGCACTGCTTTGCAGTAGCCAGTGGGATACCCAGGCTTAAGACACATCAACGCCTGCACCGTGCCAGACATTACTAACCTTAACTGTTTAAATATGAAGATGTAGACATTATCTGCTCCAAAACGTAAAATATCGAGAACTGATTATTTTATGAGTTTTATTGACTGAAACAACACTACAGAGCGTGGAAAATCAAGACAAACTCTTGCGCACGGTGCTGCACAATCTCTTTCTTGTGGCAGCTCGGTTGTTGCAGCAGCCATAGTATCAAGCGAGCTTCGAGTAATTAGACATGTGAATTGCGAGTGAAATGGTCTACACGTTACAGAATACAAATTTACGATCGCGTCAGCCTGTGCACCCTGTGGGCGGGAACCCACTTCAACCCAGTTTGCAGCGTCATTTCACAAAAATTATTTATTTTAATTACAAAATTATTATAATTATATCCTTCGGTTAACCGGTGGTTAACCGGTGTACGGCAACGCGGTTACCCAGACGCACCGGTGTGCGCCGGTGTGATTTTTCCCAAAAACCGCACCGCCTGTACCAATTTATTTTCAAAACCGCACCGCAATTTTTTCAAATTGCACCGGTGCACTGGTAAAAAACCGCACCGTTAACAACCCTATTCTGGAGATCATGATTGATTATGCCTACACGCGTGCGCCTTTCGAAGCGAGCAATTTGACGGAGTTATGGCACACCGCGGATAAGTACGATATGGAGGATCTGCGTGCGGAATGCGTTCGTCGGATGGCCAGCTCCATAACGACGGAGAACGTGTTGCAGTATTTCAATTTGGCTCGTGAACATGGTTTGACCAAGCTGAAAATAGCTGCTGGACAGTTCATCGGTCAAGATCCCCTTAACATCCCTTAAGCGCGTCTCGGGAGTTCCCTCACTTAATTGCATTGTTTTCTGGTTGCGGGTCTATAACCATTATACATTCTCCTTTCTTTACAGTTTTCTTTATGACAATAACCACTGACGTTTTCTGTAATCGTTTATTTATATATAATCTTTTCTATAATTTAATACAACCAACTGTGCTTCGTTTCCCCGTTCGATAAGTCAATCGGTGGCTCGATCCGGCGTTCACGAAAGTGCAAAGTTATTGCTTTTGACTAATGGTCAACCGAGCGCCGCAGGCGAATGCAGTGAGTTGTTCTGCAAAATTTCCATAACTACGAATGGGTAGCTTGCAGTATATCTTGGGTTGACCAGTTGACCTTCTCCCTGAATTTTGCATGATTGCCTAACAAACGATGCAGCGGTACAGTGCGTGCTGTCCGTGTTGTCACAGCTCACAAGTGTCAACTCCCAGATATATGTCGTATATAAGCACTGTGTGAATGTGAGTGAAATCCTGACCAGTAGTACTTAGATGCGCAAATACCAGAAATATGTAATTGTGACCTCACCAAAACACGTTACAATTGATGCCCAGAATCTTTGTTTTACTTTTGCATGACAGTACATGTTCTATAGCAATTTTGTTGTCATGATCTGCGCTAGAAACTACGCAAGGAACGCAAGGAATACGCAAGGAACGGTAGACCAATCTTGAATCTCTACTTTCGTTTTATTCACAGAAATCGCACTGCTGAATAAGAATTTTTTTTTGTTTAACATTGCCTTATACATATTGTACATGATACATATGATATACAAGTACGGTTAGAAGGCTACTCTACGTTTTGGAAATGACCGAAATGTTGCAAAGTTGTTGTTGTAGCTATACTCGTATTATTCGTATACGAATTAATGGGTTTAAGAACTTTTCGGATAACTGTATGCACTATGCATTATGCACTTCGTTGATTAAATATTTTTAACGGTGCGCTTCCGCACAAGCTAATATTGTGCATGCGAATGATGCGTCTGAAAATTTAGAATGCGTATGTACGATGTGCGAGCACATTGTACACGATATCTATACAATCGCACTTCTCTTTAAAGGTCCGAGTTTTAAATGCAAACGGTGTTGCGATGCTCGTAAAGCAATACACCCTTTAAAAATTATTAATTCCAACCTAGACGGTCGATGGACATTTTCAAACCAACACATCGTAAACATAACTGACAGTTAGGACGATTTACGACATTCGCGAATGTAACACAGAAACCGACAAAAAACACAGATACCGACAAAAAAACTACAAAAGGCAGCAGCCAGAATCCACAGGTGTCACATTAACCACCTCACTGGTTAAGGCCAAACGCAGACCGTTGTAAGGGCAACCCCCGAGATCGCTTCTTTATTAGAAGCTTCTGTCGTGCAATAAGGAAAAAATAAAATAAAAGACGTGCGGTGGAAATATGCACTTCCCAGACCACGACCAGTCGGGGAATAGAGCGACTCTTAATCTCAACTTCTTATGTATTTCATGGAGCGAAAGGTTAAGGATGTTGATGTACAAGTATGAGATGATATGCAGGGATGAAGAAGAGGATCCGGAACTCGAAAGCCTGCTGAAAGAGAAGACACGAAAGGGAACACAAGGGATGCGTGAAGTTATACGTTACCTGTCCGACGCTAGATGGTAGCTGAAGCGTATGAGTATGACAAATCCATCAACCTGGCGCTACAGGGCATGAAGATCGAAGGGACCGAAAGGTCACGGCAAACAAGTGGGATCAAGTGGGTAGCCTGTTACGTCACGAGATTATCCGAAGATGATAATGCACGTCGACGAAGTAGAGGAATGACCCCTGACAATAGGTGAAAGGTCACCCAGAGGTCAGTTTGAACAGCCTCACTTGGAAAGAGAAGACCAGAGCAAAAGCCTGAAGTTAATCAGATCGAGTAACAAGACTCTACTTTTGTTGGGATTACAACTCTTGACATTTGTGTGGGCGACGAGCGCCTTATATAGCCCTGGGCACCGCAAGTGCTGGCTCTTCGTACGCGCAGGTACGGGTCTGAGAACAATACGGATTTACACGCTAACCAATAAGAGACATCTGAGGACACGTGGACTAATCACACCGCTGCATCACTACACGTGGACTAATGAGAACATCAGGTCAACTAATACACTAGAACAATAGGTTGAGCTACGTCATCGAAGCGCGGTCACGTCGAAATGGCAAGTCGCGGTCAAAGTTCTCTGCTGGGGATTTCTGAGAAGTCGAAGTAGAGACTCGGGGTCAGGACTCGCGTAGAAGGTGTAGTAAAGCCTAGGCCTTAGTTGTAAGGGTAGAAGTAGTAAAGTAGTACCGATGTGTACTAAGGGACGCCAGTACACGTCACCCCCGCAAACGAGATTTCTCTGGATCGTAGTGGAACAAAAGTGAAGCTCTGCGGAACGAAGTGGAACGAAGAGGAAGGAACATAGGGACATAGGAAAAAGTAACATCTGCTCCATCCGCATAGTGCGTGCAACATCTAGCACTATCGCCAAATTCCATCCCGACTATCCGGTGCCATCGAAAGTAAGTAACATCGCTCGGTCCGGTAAGTTGTTAGTGAGTTTGAGTGTTATAAGTCATCGGATCCTGGAGCGTAACTGGCAATCCGGAAGTCCAAGGAAGTGGAAAGGCGGAGAGCAGGAACGTCCATGAGATCCAAGGTGTTATCGTATTTAAAAAGATGTTGAAAAAAGATGTTGTTTATAGCATTAAGTGCTTTAAGACTGATCATTTAGATGTTATTCCGTATTGAAAGTGGATGTATGAGACGACTGACAACCGTTATACTACGAATAACTAATAAAAATTAGAGGATTAAAAGACTAACTGCAACAAGGAAAGTTATATCTGCGCTAAACCGTGAAACGTGGTAGAAAGCGAACAAACAGACATTATACTACGAAAGCTAGTTAAAAAGATAAAAGTTACTAATCATACAGCACTGATAGGAAATACTAAGTTCAGACGATACGCAATGCAAAACGCTTAGACTGACAACATACTACAGAAATTAACAAAAACTGAAAATTCTAAAGCTGCTGACTCTGATAAAATGTAAGATCTGTGCATCATTCTATTCTACAAAGCACTCTACAACGCACTATGCTGGAATGGGAACTGAGACACTACACTACGACTGTTAACAAAAATACAAACTCTACTGCACATGCTGCGAAAGCTTATCTGCTAATTCAATGCTGTCTGAACGTGAAAGCAGAGCTGATTGATGGACTGCAAGTCATAATACTAAGAAAATTAACAAAAACTAAAACCGACTGCTATACTGCTACTGAAACTGGAGAGTAAATCTGCACTTAAGATGCAATGTTAAAAGATCTACAAGCGATTAAAGCCGAGACACTACGATAAGCCGCAAAATTAAAGACTGTTGAAAATCATACTGCAAAGGTAATATCGAAAAACAAGGTAGAAATTTTAAAGTTTAAACGCAACAAAGTTATTACTAATTATAGACGATATAGAAACTGTCTGGATTTGCTGGATCTTAAGCCGTCTAACTACGAGCATTCAACGAAAAAGAAGTTTTACCGCTACATACACCAAAATCTGAGTCTTATAAGCTTGTAACTGGATGATGAGAAACACACACTAAAGCCGATATCCTACGCCGATTCACAAAAATAAAGTTCTACCGCCAACATACTGCAAATACACTGGTTTAAACTGCTACAGAAGATTAAGAAGACATCGATATGGATATAAAGACCGCTAAGCTACGAAATTCGACAAAAACACTGAAATTCGACTACATACTGCACCGACTAAAGTTTTTAGAAAAGCCTTAAATAACCCTGCAACACTGCCGTCATAAAGCTCATATACTACGAAATCTCGACAAAAAGATAATTCCTACGAAACTGGACATCTGCATTAATTCTAACATACTGCTGATTAAAGAGAACCGTAAACCGTCGCGCTGACTCAACATGCCGATAAACTACGAGAATTACTAAAAATACTACCGAGACTCTAAATACCGCAAGTAAGGATTTATATAAGACTTTACACACATCCATCTGTATAGACAACACAAAGCCGATCAACTACAAACTACCGATACCGAAAATATTAACCATACACATACCGCGTAAATAATTATCTGAAGGTGTTAGAAGTTTTAAGGGCCACGGGGGCGCCAAGACTTATTATGGTTTTAAGATGTTGTTAAGATATATAAGATGTTATTATGGTGTTACAAAAAAGGAAATTTGAACTACTGCATATCAACATTTAAGGAATCTTGCTCAATGCTCAATTTTATCTACACCCACAAGCCGAACTACTACGAAGTACTGCAAAAACTAAAATCGAAATTCACACACCGCACAAAGTTATTAGGAAAGGTTCTGGTACGATTTCCTTGCATACACGAACACTACTCTACGATACTCCGATACTGCTAATAATTACCGCTAACATGCCGCAAAAGGTAAAAAAGATACTGAAAATTCTGCATTTATAGATATTAAAGCGAATATCACATATGCTGGAGTAAGCTTTTAATGACCGCCGATACAGTGATATAAAACCATTACACTACGAAGTTCAACAAAAATTAATACCGAAAATCACATGCTGCACTGCTAATAACGACTCATTGATCAAACCGGTTGATATTCCATTCGAAACACTGGACTACGAGTTACTTATACTGAGATAAAAATTACTGCATATTCTGCGAATTACTGCTAAGTTACACTGATTAATAATTGGGTTATTGGGATGCAACTAAATAGTGTGGAATGGTGACACCGATAAGCGCTAACACTATTACCGCATATCGTTGATGTTGTTATCGTTATGGGCAAAAAATACTTATTATTTATTACCGCAAAAAGTTATTTCAAAATTCTACTGACAAAACTCTATTTTTGAGCTTATTAGCAACAAGCGCGTAATGCTGGAAACAACTGTTGATTTAAACCGCTGCAACCGGAGGAGCACCGTTCTCATAGAGCCGTTCTACTACGAACAATCACGAAAATTACTACTACCAATTTCATGCTGCATCCATAATTATTTTTTAAACGGGATTGGGAGGGTGGGAACGCACAAAAATACTACACCGCTATCAATTTTCTGAGAAAAAGGAAAATTCAACTGCTTACTGATATTATTCACAAAACCGGAACAAATTCAACGTTCAGGATCAACTTCCATACAGTATTCGAGCTGGACACCACACTACAAATTTCTATACTGACGAAGTTAACACTGCTCATACTGCAAAAATGATACCAAAAACTGAAGTTTTACCGATTATTCTGCAAGCAATACAATTTGCTGCTCAATACACTCAAAATGACCACTTGTGTGTTATAAGCTATCGCACACACTACGAAAATCCACATACTACTGTACCACGACTATTAGCTGCTTCTGACAAATATGCCAACACCCACTACAAAAGCTAATATCTAAGCAAAAATTACTAACCCAT